AGGTGGGGAAGGGGAGAGGGGGGAGGGAGAGAGCAAATTAAAGCCTCCCGTTGAGCTTAGGTCACACTTCGGTCCCTGGCAAGTTGACCGAGTCCAAGTATGATGACACTTTAGACACATGAATCTCATCGAGTTCCTGCATGCATTTTGTCTCTTCCATCATCGGTAAAGGGGCTAATGGGTCAGTCGCGCTGGTCATAGAATTGTACTATAATGCTTGATTCTTGTAAACTAGCTGAAAATAATAAGAGCTGTCCAAACAGCAGCTTCCTACGTTCAATATTAACCGAGATATTGCGTTTTGAAAAGTCGCGTTTTTGACGTCATCCACCGCGGTGGTGAAACCATTGGTTTCCTCCCCCTTGCTTTCATCCATGTTTTACGTTGAGTAACCAGTGCAAATGTGTGTCACACGAACTGACGAAAGCAAGGTGGTAGAAACCAAGGGTTTCACTACCGCGGTGGATGACGTCAATAACTTGACTTTTCAAGAGGCGATAACTCGGTTAATATTGAACGTGGAAAGTTGCTGTTTGGACAGCTCTTATTTTTTTTTAGCTGATCTACAAGAATCTAGCATCAAAACAGGATTTTGTGATCAGCGCAACTGACCCATTAATCCTCAACAAAGGGATCCGAATAAAAGAGCCCCGGAAGTGTTTTTGACAGTATAGGATACGTTTATGCTGAGAGGAACTATGTGCAAATGAAGTGAACATCCTTTCCGTAATTTGAAAGACGTATTGGTGATTGTTGCAGGAATGTTCCTGTCCGAAAAGCAAATACAGCGAAACTGGAGATGTGATGGCAGAGAGAGGGTCCTCGAGTAACAATGATCATCGAATTCAATTTCTATTCGGGAAACCACAAGGCCATAAAAACGCGACAAAGCCCAAGTAAGTATACATCAAATGGACTGCATTTTGAAATTTGAAACTTCACGTTCCCTTATGCACAGAAGTGTTTTTATGGATGGGTTAGAAATTGTAGTTCCCAATTGCAAAATGGAGTCCAAATTTAAAGGAGATGAACCAGAGTCAGCTCAACTAATTATACGTTTATCAGACTTTGCCTAGTCTCCTTCGTGTTCTATTCTTTAACAGCGATCCAAAAACTTTCGAATTATTTTGGGGTTTTCTAAAAACGTATCTTTAAAATTTTTAATTATAAACATGCACCTGCTAAGAATGAGAGTACTTGAGGGTAATCGGGTGACCCTGGGAAAAATTGGCGATAGGAGCTGCGTTTCAAAATACCCTAGGAGTTCTTATAACCGACTAAAGAAGGCTATTAAAAATCATATAGCTGGCTGTAGAAAGCGGAGCAAATCATATAGCCGGGCTATACGAAGCTATAAAAAAGTATACAGTCGGGCTATAGTTCCTATCGCTGGGCTTTACACTTCATCGCCATTGGCTATAAAAGGCTATAAGAAATTGTGTAGAAATTCGTGTGTTTTGGAAATCATTAAGTTTGATACGGAACTATACCTTACTATTTACAAAACGCACATTATATTTTCCTTTGAAACATATTTTTTTCCCCCTATCAATTAAAATGAGAATAATCCATACAGAGTGTGCAAACATTTCAAAATCATGCGTTGAAAAACGCTGACTCCGCGAGATTAAGTATTAGAGCCTAATACAAAGCGGAGCGGCGACGCACTGGCGCCTACAAACCTAACAGGGATACTTCACGCATTGCGCAATGCGTGAAGTATCCCTGTTAGGTTTGTAGGCGCCAATGCGCGTTTCGCGCTCTCTGCCCGCCCGCCGCGCCGCAGCGTGCCACGGCTCACGGCGTCTGAAGCAACTATTTCACACCAGATGTATTGCACAGTATCATAAGAAATTGAAGGCGCTCCAACATATTAAGAATGACAGGCATCCTTCAAAAGCACGGAGCTTTCCTCGCAAAATAAATCAAAATACTACGGCACAAAAAGAGAGCTGTAGTCCAAAAACTAACCAAGTCCTAGTATCCGTATTTAGTAACGTTTAGCATAAACTTTATCATCTGGCTGTTGCTTAGTCGCCATCGGCTATAAAAGGCTATAAGAAATTGTACAGCCAGCTACAGAAGCTATTGGAAATCTTACAACCGGCTTTAGGTCTATGGTATTTTGGAACACAGATTCTACTGCCAATTTTTACCGGGGGAATAATTACAACCGTACAATGGAATCAACGAAGGAAGCACCTTTGACTCATTCGTGTAAGCGAGTATTCCAGAACTAATTGGACGTATTTCTATCAAACGGAACTATGTGCATTTAGGCATGAGTCCTAAGCTAGACCCATACGAATAAATGCATAACAAGGCTCACGTTATAACGCACATAGTTCCGTTTGACAGAAATACGTCCAATTATAAGACATACCACCCTGCCAGGTAGAAGAAATCCCACGAGATCCTTATCAGTTATCTCAGATCTTTTTGAACTGGATTTTAAAGCTATGAGCCATTTTGATTATGATTTTTTTGCTCATTCAGCTCGTAATTATTGCCTCAAAATGTCTGCAGATATTAATTTTCTTATATGGACTCGTTTCAGAGGTACAAAATTCGTGATTCCCTTAATCGGACGTATTTCTGCCAAACGGAGCTATGTGCATTATGACGTGAGCCTTGTTATGCATATATTCTCATGGGTCTCGCGGCTCATGTTTTAATGCACTTAGTTCCGTTTGGTAGAAATAAGTCCAATTCATCGACGTTTTTCTTTGCAAGACAAAATATAAAGAAATGAAGAGAGAAAAAAAGCGAAATCGAGTGGAAAATCATATGTGCTCAGGTCTAGTAATAAGAAAGATGGAGCTAACCGGGATTTACGTACAAAAAAGGAGGTCAAGTTGACCTCAACTTGAGCTTGGACCCAATTAAGTTTTCGACACGCTTTACAAACTTTCAATTGAATATACGCCACCTCTTGAAGTGGCTGGAATACACGCGACACGACGCCCGTCAATCCACTGATGCCACTTTGAGAAGTAGTTCCCATAATTCTCCCGTGTTAAGGAAAAACGCCGTATGAGCCTCCAGGCGTTGCCAAATTTCCTTTGACAAATCGTGAATATTTGAAAAAATTGATAAATATTTCGATTCCGATTATCGGAGGATTTTGTTCAAAATGTGATCCAATAAGTCTGAAAATTTCAAGGAAAAATATTCATAACTTCCTTCCAAAATCATTATTTTCCAACATCCGAATGCTTATACGGTGTTTGACTTGGCATGGTAGAATTGTCACGATAGAAACGATTTTTCTAAGAGGGTCTCGGTGGTTCTAGTGATAAGAATGTCTTTTACCTCTAGGCCTCCTAATTTTCAATTTTTTTTGTATTGCATGAATTATAATTTCTACATGTTTCGTATATGCCTTTAATATATTCGTAACCAATATGTTTCCATTTCTCGCCGGAAAAAATGGATTTTATTGTTACAATAGTGCAAATGTTGCCAAAACTTGGCGTTGAGATGTAAAAAAATAGACGTGTTGAAGTCAAATTGAAGTATGTGAATTTCAATCTCTTTGTTGCCCTGTGTTGCTTTGCGAGCCCCTCTCCCATACGAATAAATCAGTAGAGAGGCGTGAATGATCGATTATCGACATTTTCCCATTGATATTACGGCAAAGAAGAGATTATTAAGGTGTGCGTTGCAAACGCTCTGTATATCGATCCTATCCAGCGGGCCGATTATTGAAATTAATAGACAAAGCGATAGACAAAGAAGACATAGGGAGTATGAAGCTATCCTATTGGTTGAAATGGGTGGTTCCTATAGACTAAGGGAGAAAATGATAACTAACTATCGAGTCCCTTGTGGGTTGCCGTTACTTAGTCTATTGCCTACTCTCTTTGTCTATTGCAACCACCAGGTTCAACCAATAGGATCCTTCCATATCCAATTTGTCCTCTTTGTCTATAGCTTTGTCTATCTATGTCAATAATCGGCCCCCTGTAGGTTTAAATGGCAGATCAATCGATATAATCGCAAAGCACGCCACGCCACTGGAATAAATAGGTGGTCACTGATAGATTCCTCTGTAAAATGCACTGATAATTAATTTTTCTCATTCCAGTAAACAACCGATTAAAAAGAAAAACGGGAAGAATGGGAACAGTACAACTATAATTTCTCCAGGTGGAAATGGGACTGCGGCAGGTCACGGAGCAAACGAAACCCATAGCACCGCAGCTCCGACCGTCATCAGCGAGACAGCTGCATCAGCTGCATCGGCTGCATCAGCTGCATCGGCTGCATCAGCTGCGTCGGCTGCATCACCTCCTGTGCAGAACGTAACGAAGCAAGAGGAGGACCACTCAACCTATTTTCTCCTGGGCATGCATCCCGATTTGATGACAGCTAGTGAACAGTTAGGTAAATTTGATTCACTAAAATAGAAAGATCGTTATAATCAAACTTTCCCCCTTCGTGTACTTAATCTAAAGACAAATTATGGACGTAGCACGCAGCTCTACCAAACAGAGCTATGTGCAGGTTTGAAAGATAGCTAGGGTATGCTCGAGCTCGTTAGTCGAGGGTCGTAAGAATGAATAGGAATCGGACTTATTTCTACCAAAGGAACTATGTGCATTAAAACATGAGCCGCGAGACCCATGAGAATATATGCATAACAGGGCTCACGTCATAATGCACATAGTTCCGTTTGGCAGAAATACGTCCAATTATAAAGCGCCTGTAACGAAGCCGCCACCGCGGTCGCTTGTCGGCGTCTTCAACTCATGAGCTCTGTCCGTAACGCTCAAGATACATGCCTACGGCCCATGAGTCCCGTATACAATACACTTGGTACACAGTTCCGTTTGACAGCATGTAAAATCCCGCTTTACCAATTCAGCAAACGGAACTATGTACTAAGTGTATGTGAGACTCATAGGTTGTAGGCATGTGTCTTGAGCGTTGCGGACAGGGCTCATGACATGAGTTAAAAACGCTGACGGGCGACTGCGGCGGCGGCTCTGTCACTGCACTGAAAAAAAAAAAAATCTCGGTGTATTCACCAAGAAAAGGGTAAAATTACCAAGAATTCAGGGTTATATTTGATCCCAGTTTTTTCTTGGTAAAAAATTTTACCGAGATATCTCGGTAAAATTATTGAACTTTCTCGATAATTTTACTGGACCTTGGTAAAAACGCCAATATTTTGTATCGACTTTGGTAGAATTACCGAGATAAAATGGCAAAGTTACCGGGAATTGATTACCTATAAAAGTGGTATTCTTACCTGAAAAAACAGTAAAAATACCGGTTTTTAGGTAAGCTTACCAGTCTGTCTTGGTAAAATTACCAATAATTGGTAAAAAAATGAGATGGTAAAGGTACCAACGGACCTTGGTAAAAACGCCGAGAATTTTTTTTCAGTGTGGCGCTTTATAATTCCCATTCATTCTTACGGCTCTCGACTAACGAGCACACCCCATCATTTCCACCTGCACATAGGTCTGTTTGGTAGTAATACGTCCATTTCATGTTTTCACATCAAAATTTTACGCGGCACGAGCCACAGGGTTGGCGCTTTAAAAACGATCAAATCCAACCCGTGAGTGATAAATTGGCGTTTATAGTAATCGACGGATAAACTTAAGTTCAGAATTTCTGCTTTCCTTCCATTTTTTGAGAGGAAATGGGCCAGTTAGAGTGCTTGAAATTTGCTCATAAAATTCTGCACGCACACAGAATAAATCAGGAACATTTTGAAAGAAATTACGTCAATCAGTTCTCCCACCGAAAAATAAGGTTAAAAGCAGAAAATCTGGAACAAGACTAAGCTAGACTAGTTGTATCGTGGCTCAGTCATATTAGTGCCCATGATTCGGACGTATTTCTGCTGAACGGAATTATAGACGAGTGGGAAAGATTGGGTGTGCTCTAGGAGGCTGATTAAGAAACAATGTAAAAGTGAGCATGATTCCCATTGGAAAAGTGGAAAAGCGGGATTATACATTCCAACAGACGGAACGAAGCCCCAACTGAATACAGCACTCATGAGCCGTGGGCACGGCAAAAGAGCGTTGTGAATGGGGCTCATGAGTTAAAGCGGGCAAGGAGTTAGAGCGCGTCACCGCTGACGTCACTGGTGCTTCACAATTCCCATTCATTCTTACGGCCCTCGGCTAAGGAGCACACCCTTCTTTCCCACCTGTCGTTGGTTCCGTTCAGCAGAAATATGTCTTTGGCAGAAATACGTGTATTTGCTTTGAGTGGCAGGTTGTTTTGATCATTAAATTAGGCAGCTTGTGTCCGCAGGTATGGAGCTTCCGGAACCGGAGGACAGCAGCGAGGTGACGGATTTCCGGCAGCATTTCAGCGAAGAACTCCTGACCATGGCCGGGGTCAACTACACCGCTCTCGAGGAGGCCGACCTTCGGTGCGGCGGCAGGGTCATCGCCACGAATCTCACCATCAACCGCCTCAAGGAGATGGCCGCCGACTGCATGCTTCAGAAGTGTGACTTCAGGTGAGCCCTCTCCCTCTAACTTGACCTTTGGATCGCTCAAGTAAGCAGAGAAGTATTCAAAATGGAAAGAGCTGAAACCATCAAATGTCACCCTGGCACACAGACTTTCTGTCCACTTTTTTTACGTCCACAGGCTTTTCGTCCACAATTTTTACGTCCACAGTTCTAAAGCCCACACTATTGTTAAGTCCATTACTTAAACGTCCACTAAGTTAAGTCCACAAATGTAAAGTCCACTAAAATCAAATTCAAGCGTGATATTTTAGTCATATTATTTTAGAGAGTGCAAACATTTCAGAATCATGAGTTGAAAAACGCTGACTCCGCGAGTTTAAATATTAGAGCCTAACACAGAGCGGAGCGGCGTGTTAGCAGCGCAGAACGCACACTGGCGCCTGGCGCCTACAAACCTAACGGGATACTTCACGCGTTGCGCGACGCGTGAAGTATCCCGTTAGGTTTGTAGGCGCCTATGCGCGTGTCACGCTGGTTGCCTGCCGGGCCGCAACGCTTTAAGCAACTATTTCGCGTCAGAGGCGTTGCACAGTATCCTACAAGATTGAAGGCGCACGAAATAACTAGTTAAAGAGGACTTTCAATTTTGACTGCATCTATTACTGAAAAATGTTTAATTTGGCATTGGAGCGTTTCCTAGGCTTCCGCTTTGGTTTTCATCTTATCATATCCGTACAGTTTACACATGAACATATGTTTTTATCTGCTCTTAGAGTCTGTTCTCTTTCATGACTTGATTCACGAATGAAATATTTTTAAGAATGAGGGTAGTAGTATGCATTTATTTTTGAGGTGGTTCCTGTCATTTAAATGAGAAGAAAAAAATGTGGACATAGCATGTCCACAATTTGGACAATTTTGGACAATTTTGGACATTTTCATGTTTGGACACTAAATCATGTGGACTTCATAAAGACTGGACTTAATTTTTAGTGGACATAAATAGCGGTGGACATTTATTTAATGGACTTCAGGTAGGTGGACATAAAGTCCTGGAAGCGTACCCCGCCTTAGAATTGGTTTTGGGGACCTGGGACCGCTGGGTCAGAAGTCAGTAGCACTGACCATTGGACCGACCGAGGTCGGCTAGTTTTAACCTTGATCCCTGCAAGAAGGAGCTCCCCCCCCCCCCCNCCGAAGAAGACCCTATTACTTTATGTTTCTTATACTTCATTCGTAGAGTAAATAGAGCCATAATGAAAAATAGATCGGATAATGTCATGGTCGACCTATTCTGACGGAGAAGGGCGCCTTCATTACTATTAGATGCAACGCGGATATCCGTAGAGTTTGAATAGTTGTATCACAAAAGTGGTGCTCAATAGTTGTTGCATCATTACTTCCTAGGCATCAAACTAAAGAGAGCCAAAGCGTTCCTTGAAAAAAAAAAAATTTTAACAGAAACGCGCTTTTGTAATTTGTATCCAAAATCACATCTATCGAGCTGGTTTTTTTTTTTGCGATTTCATCGTACTTCAAAGCAAGATAGAAATTGGCCAGAGCCCTTATTTTTGGAGTATCAACTCACTTCAAATAGTCTTTTAAGGTATGCTAATTAGTTTTCGGATCAAAATGTTTTTGTGCCCCCCACAATTGGGCAGTACCTATATTTCTGTTGCATTTGCTGGTTGGTTTCTTTGTGCAGGGCAGGCGGTCCAGAAGTGTGTCCTCCTGATTACAAAGAGTCCGACGACCGGGTGTTCTGGCTCTACTTCGCCCTCCGCTTCATCGGCAACACCATGCACCTGGCATCCGTCACCATCATGGACCCGATCGCCCTCCAGATGATTCAGCAGCATGGAGGAGAATTCGGCAGGGAGCGCCTCTTCTCCACCGTTGGAATGGCAATTTTCTCCCCTCTAACAGGCTTGCTCATTGATCAGAGGAGTCGCTGGCTGGGTAAGCGAACTGAACTTTTTCACTAAACATCCCCCATCCCACCCACGCAAAAAAGTGTTTCCATTTCTGACACGTGTACAAGGTGATCCAGGGTAAATGGCTAGACTGCAGGATCCGAAACATCCCCAAACCGCCTCCTTAAATTGGACGTATTTCTATCAAACGGAACCAAGCGCCAATTTGAGTTCCTTTTCAGGAATTTAGAATGCCGGATAGTGCGTTCTGTCAAACGGACCTAATTGTAAGCGCCATGGAAAAGCATTGCGAGTATAGGACGGAATAAGCCGGACGCCCGATTCCGCCGCCAATCCAAGCCCCCCTATACCTTCCTCACCCTATGGCGCTTGGGTCCGTTTGATAGAAATACGTCCAATTGAGATTTCGATTTTTTTACTTACATCATTTATGTCTATAAGCATGGCGTAAAAGTACACATTTTCATGAGATTTGGTTCACAATCGTTGCCAAAATCCAGGAAAAACGATTTACTTTCCGATTTTTTTTTTTGGGGGGGGGGCAACTCCGACTAGGGGCACAATTGGAAACAACTTTAGACAACAAAAAAGTCTTATTTTGACCCATAGAACACGCTCCTGCTGTCTGGCCGTTTAACCCGGGATCAGGCAATCAGGCATGCATCGAAATGTGTCTGAAATGAGCCCTTATGACGAGGAAAGCCTTGGTGAAAGTTTCAGCTTCATTTTTGAATTCCAGAATTCCAGGGCGCCTCCCAAGGAGATTCGTAATTTTTTCAGGGAGGTATAAGCGTGCGTTACAAAAGGGTAAAAAATCCAATTTTCAGCGGTATGAATTTGACGTATGGCCCTAAATTATGCTTTTGTTGATTAGGTTACACGGATTACTCAAGTAACCTAAGATGCTAGTATGTTTCTCTATTGCATTAATTAGCTTTAAGTTTCTTTAAAAAATGCCATGATTCCACTTTTTCATTTTTGTCTCCATTGATTTATTTCAATAATAAAAGAATAAGGAAAAACTGGAATTCATCAGTGGTTTTTTGGCTTCAGAGGAAGGCGATCGATGGGGTTGTTTCGAGGTTGTTTAGCGTTCTGTTTTAGATGAAATGACCCTAAATTAAGCTCTTGTTGACCAGGTTACACGGATTACTCGAGTGCGTTCTGGTCGTACGACGCTTTGCTGTGCATTTCGATTGTGACGGTGATGTTGATGCCTCTCGGGGTCAAAGTGCCCGCGGACAACATCATGCAGGACATGATCCGACTCATCCGCTTCCCACACGTCATCACCTTCATCTTCTTCCTCTTCGCCCTCGGCAACTGCTGGGGCTTCATCGAGTCCTTCTTGTTCCTCTACCTCAAGGAGCTCGGAGCACCCAACTATCTACTTGGTAAATTTCAGTCCTTTCTAGTAAATTAGAATTGGTAGAATTATTAGAATTAGTAGCATTAGTAGAAGAAGTAGAATTAGTAGAATTGGTAGAATTAGTAGAATTGGTAGAATTAGTAGAATTAGTAGCATTAGTAAAATTAGTAGAATTAGTAGAATCAGTCGAATTAGTAGAATTAATAGAATTAGTAGAAAAATTCAACGCAAAAATCGCGATATATATGTGGAAGGCAATTAGTCAAATCAGGCATTTTATTAAATGCCCAGGCAAACAGTCAAATTTTGACAGTTAATGGAATTCTGTAAATTTATGGCGAATAGTTCTTGGGTTTTCAATATTTTGGGAAGAATAATTCAAATTCGCGAGCTCTCCCTGTTCCTTCCTTTTACATGCCTTTAGTACATTTAAATTTTAAAATTTTAAAAATTCTATGTTTTATGGCGTGCTGAAAATTTCATGATAAATGTGCATTCACAATCTTGAAATCGTTTAAAATACTATTGTATGCTGCATATTTTTATAGAAAATTCTTTCTTGTAGGAGCAACGAATTATCCTGTCTAAAATTAGGGTAAGAAATCAAAATTTCAATCTAAGTAAGAATATTTTACTATTTGCCCTCAACATATGTATTGCGATTTCATCGCCGATAAAATCACTAGGATCATCAACATCTCAGCGATTATCCTCGATCTTATCGGGATAAAATCGCGATTTTATCCAAATTTATTGCGATATTATCGAAAGAAAAATCGCGATAAATAGCGATTTAATCTGGATTTATCGACGAAAATTGCAATGTGTGGCAATTTAATCCCCGTATACCACAAGGCTTAATTCGATAATATCGCAATAAAATTTCCGGGCAATAAAAATCGCGATAACCAACCGATAAAATCGCTATTTATTACGATCACTGCCACTTGCGGTACATGAGTAGTCGAATATCGTCGAATTCCTGCTCAGAAAATATTGTATTTTGAAAAAAGTCGTGAATCTTTTTCCTTGAAATTTTCAGACTTTTTAGATCAATTCGTGATTTAAATCCTCAAAAAATAGGAGGAGAAATATTCCCAAATTTTCGCGAAAATTCTAGCTTTGTCGAAGGAAATTCGGCAATGCCTTACGGCTCATACGGCGTTCTTCCTTAGCACGGCAGTACTTTCGCACGGAAAATACAGTCACCGGAGGGTTCACTTTCAATCGGCTAAGCCAATTCAGACTACATTAGCTCTCGAGAGTCAACAAAAAACTGGTGAAAGTCGTGCGAAAATAATTCAAAATTTCAAAAAATAAGATTCTATTGGTACGATAGGTACTTTATAATTCAATCTAACTTTTACGTTTCTAAAAACAAATCATGAATGTGCTACTAACTCTTCTTTACTTTTATAGGTATTACAGTTTCGGTTGGTACAATTAGCAGTATCCCATTCCTTTACGGAGCTGAAAAAATTACGAAAAGGTTTGGACATGTCAACATAATCGTCATCGCATTTTTCTCTCATGCGGTCAGGCTGATGGGTTATTCTTTCATCGAGTGAGTATTTATTGGATTGCATTTTGCAATTTGGAACTATAAATTCTGGCTCATCTGAAAAAACACGTATGTGCATAGGGAAACTAATAGCACATACGTTGTTTTTAAACCGGACCAGAATTTATAGTTCCACATTGCAAAATGCAGTCCTATTTTCCCCTATTATTCCTTTGGCTTAGCCGTGCACGATGGAGGATTTGCAGATGTCTAATCTTCGATTTCGCAGAAATTTCAGCATATCTCTGAGAATTTTTCTATAGATCGATTCGATTCTTGATCGATACTCAATCAATCTACTTTCAATCATATTAATTGTTTCGTGGCAAAACTTCTGGCCGAAAAAGTATGTCGCTCCTCAATCATTTAGGGACTTCAAAAATTAGATAGTTGATGGAATTATGAAGCAAAACCAAACTACGTTTGAACAAAAAAATGTTTCAAAAGTTACCGATCAAAAACAAAAATTGGATGTATTTATGCTAAAAGGAACTAAGTTCCGCGCTAACCCTATATCGACGGTGAAACTACCAAACCACGTATCTCGTTTGCGGTGTTTAAAAATCTACGCTCGCATTTTATTTTTTTGAAGTAGACCAAATGAATATCATTCCTTGAAATTTTCACAGAATTTTCTCCGCACGAAGAGGAAAAATCACAGAAATTTTCAAGACTGGACGTTGAGTAGTTTTTCATTTAAAAAATAAAGTATGACAGGAAGTCTGCGATGTCGCAAACCGAGATACGTGGTTTGGTAGTTTCACCGTCGATATGCTTATAGTTTCATTTGGCATACCTGAATATGTCCAATTAAAGGAAAGAAGCCCCGCCGAGTGGCACGATTATTCTTGAAATGAGCTAGGGGCGATTCAAGTATTACGTGACACATTTTTTCCGATTTTTGATCCCACTCCCCCGTGTAATGTACCCGTAACGCAGCCCTATGACCCCCTTTTGAATTACGTAACGCTGGCCTGACCCNTCGAACAGATTCACTCTGGAAAGGCGGGATTTCCAATTTTTTGACACTTTTTTTCAAAGTCCCCCCCCCCTCCGGCTCGAATTTTTTACGTAACGCTGGGTTTAACCTCCCTTTGCCCCTGTAACGCACCGTAACGCTGATTCGACCCCCCTCCCCTTAAGTGCGGAACAGCCTACTTTCGAATATTTTCAAGTTAATACGGCTACAATGATCTGCGCGGGAGGAATGCTATCGAATCAAAGATTTCCTCACGACCAGTATCTTGACAAGCCGTAGTTATACCCAATCAAATTGAAAGGGAACCTGAAAAGGTGGATGCATTGACCATGGTGATCTCGAGGAAAAGTACTACATGTGCTTGTTTACTAACAAACTTAACCTGTGACGAAGAATCATGAGAAAAAAAACCCGTGCGATCCCAAGGGTAAAAAAAATCGTGCACGGGTTTATTGAAATCAAAGCGTTATTGAAACGGGGCTTTTTGAAGTACGAAGCTTAGGTATGCGATTAGTGAATGGTGCGGATTACCGGTTAAGAATGAGATTTACTCTTAATGCTCATCAAAATAATTCGAGCAACCAGGGGAGCTTTGTACAAATACAGTTATGGTGATAACAAGTCGAGATAAGAAGGGATTGCGACTCGACGAGGGATTAGCAGCGTGACTCCATAGGGTATACGATTGCTTGAAGTGAACTCATCCAGAGGGCAACCAGGTTGACGTGATTCGAACAAAAGTTAGCTTGTCTACAGCTAATTCGCCGAGAAAGCCCGTCTGATTATTGTATTTGACCTGTCGCAGGTAAATAGTTGAATCAGGCATTTTATCAAATGCTCAATGCAAATGCAATCAGCCAAAGTTTGACAGTCTACAAAATGTTGTATATTTTTTGCAAATCGTAGGGGCAGTCCGCCTCTACGATTCTCGGCCCTCCGGGAAATCGGGAAGCTCCCAGTGGGCTGGTCGAGGGGAAAAAGAAAGAAAGAAAAATAGAAAAAAAAGATAGGGAAGAAGAAAGAAAAAAGAAGGGGACAAAACAAAACAAGAGGATACTAATCGGGTGAAACGGGATCTTGAGTAAATTTCATCTTAGAGGAGACACCGCAGAGAGTGAGTGTAACGGAGGCTCAAACTCAGATCGGCCCTTCGAAAATTCTCGAGACAACAAATAAACAAAAAAGTTCACGTTCAAAATCATAAGTTGAAAAATGATGCCACGAGATTGAATGATCGCGTCAATCGAAAATTCTCGTGACAACAAATAAACAAAAAAGTTCACGTTCAAAATCATAAGTTGAAAAATGACGCCACAAGTTTGAATGATCGCGTCAAACTCAGTGCGGCCGGCGCGGCGCGGCGCGGCGCGGCGCAGCGCGAGGCTGGCGCATAGTAGCGTCTTACAAGACTGCAAAATACTTCATGCATTGCGCGTTTAGCCCTGTTCCGCCTGTCCTCATCTTTGATATTTCGGACGCTCATCATTGTGCTACTATGAAAGGTCCCCCGAATGCCTGTTTTAACATAATTTTCTCTTATCGTTTTAGGAATCCATGGTGGGTCTTTCCATTCGAGGCCATCGAGGCCTTGGCTGTTCACCTCATGTGGGTAGCTGCTGCGACTTACTGCGCCATTTTGGCACCCAAGAACCTACTTGCAACTTTGATTGGAGTTCTCGGAATGGCGCATTTCAGTTTAGGTATGCTACTCTTTAACCATCTTACGACAAGCTACCCTTTTTGAGGTTGGCAGAGTAAAAGTAGCATTGCATCATTTAGAACATTGAGTTATAATCTTGAAAAAGTGATGACGTAATTGAGCAAACCATTCGCATTTTCACTTACACGGGGGAAAATGCTTCAGGATCTCTCTCTCTCTCTCTCTTACGCCAGAATTGTGTTGGCGAGATAGAGCGAAAATTTTATATATTAGTGCTTTCAGTTGACTTGGGAACTAAACTAACTGGGTGACCAAGCATAGAGTATCATGGGAAATTGAGGGAGCTATGAGTACATCAGATCGTGCTCTTGAAATTATTTGATATCTTCATTTAAAGTTCATTATCATTGAACATACTTACATCACGTGCTATTATTTTGTTGAAAATACTTTAGGTTACAATGAGATTTGAATAAAGAGTACACCATGATTTATCATTTTCTAAATGTGTAAGCCTTCTGAACGGAGGTTTAAAAAAAGGCGAAATGGTTTTAATAGTTCAGCTGGCTTTCAAAGTTAGAAATGCTAAAAAAAGAGGGTCAACTTGCCAAGTATCCTTATGTCTAAAAAGAACTTTCATATGCCTCACTTTTCAGGACGAGGAAGTGGAAGTTTTGTCGGTGGTCTGCTAATAGGTACTGTGGGAACACGCAAATCTTTCCGTATCATGGGCCTTTTATCCATAACAAGCGGAGTGATTTACGGAGTGCTTCACTGCTTGTGGCTTCACAAATTTGACGTGACAAAAACAAACAAAGAGGACCAAAAAGGTTTGTGCAAATTATTCACTAAAACCAATTTAACGTAGACTTGAGTCAAAATTGCCTCATCAGACTTCTGAACTTTTTTTGTTTATATATTGATTTATTTATTTACTTTTTACGTGAAAATTGTGACAGTAATTTGAAGAATATGCTGAGATTGTTGTGTTTCTGCAGAAAGGATGATTTTGATGATTTTTGGAAGGACGTAATATGCTGAAAGGAACTATTTGTATAGGGTTTAACTGCAGCATAGTTCCTTTCAGCATAGATAGGTCCATTTAAAAAGAGAAAACTTCTCAGCAAACGACGGGAATTCGAGAGTGCAATCTATTTGCACGTGATAAAGTAGGTATTATACAAAAATGAAGGCACTCGTTGCCCTATTAGATACGTACAATCCGTGCATGGTAGTAGCGTTAGTCGAATTCTAGTTCCATCTTAAGAGGGTGAAATTAGGTCTACTAAAATAATAATTTTACCTAGATTTTTGACGAACATACGCAGCAGATTTCCGAAGGCAGATAGTTAAATCTGGAATCAGGAATGATACCCAGCAACTATTTTTATTCCCATATCAGTTCTGATTTTCGATCACATGCAAATTGGAATCAAATACTGGCACATATTTTCATGACACCGCGCTTGTTTAACAAAGAGGAACCAGCAAGCTGATTATTGAAATTGATAGACAAAGCGATTGACATAGGGTGTACGGAGCGGTCATTGGTTGGGACGAATAGTTGTCGTAGACCAAGGGCGAAAATGATTGACTAACTGCAGGGTCTCTTGTTCGTTGCCATTAGTTAGTCTATCCTTACCTCCTTTGTCCATTGCAACCACTCGCTTCCACCAATAGGATTGCTTTATTTTCAGTTTGTCCTCTTTGTCCATCGCTTTGCCCATCAATTTCAATAATGAAACCACAGACGACAATAAGCGAATTTACGCGATCGAATATCATTCACCGTTGACGACAATATTCGACGATTGTGCATTTTTTTTCAAAATGATATTCGGCTTCATCGTTGGTCTCACTGGAGATCGTTGAAATTCATCGATTTGAAATTTCGAATTCACCTCGGGAATTGAATTCGATTTTTGAATTGATGCAATCGATGCTAGAAACTTCATCTCTCACCAGAATTTTTTTTTTCGTCATTTCTCTCTGTTCTTGTGTTTTGTCATATCAAGTCTGCTGTGTTTGCAATTTGATGCGTTTTAGTGTTTCGTATTTTCTTATATCCTTCTAAATTTCATTTTTAAAAAAATGAACTCTGATTGTCCTGGTAAAAATTGGCAGTAGAATGTGTGTTCCAAAATACTACAGACCTAAAGCCGGCTGTGAGATTTCCAATGGCTTCTGTAGCCAGCTGTACAATTTCTTATAGCCTTTTATAGCCGATGGCGATTAAGCAACAGCCAGACGATAAAGTTTATGCTAAACGTTACTAAATACGGATACTAGTACTTAGTTAGTTTTTGGACTACCGCTCTCTTTTTATACTGTAGTATCTTGATTTATTTTGCGAGGAAAGCTCCGTGCTTTTGAAGGATGCCTGTCATTCTTAATATGTTGGAGCGCCTTCAATATCTTATGATACTGTGCAATACCTCTGGTGTGAAATAGTTGCTTCAGACGCCGTGAGCCGTGGCACGCTGCGGCGCGGCGGGCGGGCAGACTGCAGAGAGCACGAAACGCGCATTGGCGCCTACAAACCTAACAGGGATACTTCACGCATTGCGCAATGCGTGAAGTATCCCTGTTAGGTTTGTAGGCGCCAGTGCGTCGCCGCTGCGCTTTGTGTTAGGCTCTAATATTTAATCTCGCGGAGTCAGCGTTTTTCAACTCATGATTTTGAAATGTTTGCACACTCTGTATGGACTATTCTCATTTTAATTGATGAAAAAAAATATGTTTTAAAGGAAAATATAATGTGTGTTTTGTAAATATTAAGGTAGTTTCGTATCAAACTTGATGATTTCCAAAACACACGAATTTCTACACAATTTCTTATAGTCTTTTATAGCCAATGGCGATAAAGTGTAAAGCCCGGCGATAGGAACTATAGCCCGACGGTATACTTTTTTATAGCTTCGTATGGCCCGGCTATATGATTTGCTCCGCTTTCAATAGCCTTCTTTAGTCGGCTATAAGAGCTCCTATGGTATTATGAAACGCAGCTCGTATCGCCAATTTTTACCAGGGTGGCTCCTACCTTCACGGATCATCGGCGTTACTCAGCACTCGTCAATTCGTTTGATGAATGATATTCGATCGCGCAAATTCGCCTATAAAGACTTTGACTCTGATTGCAGATTCGAACGAGGTTGAAAAATTGAACGGCGATGTGCAGACGGAGGAAGAGGAGGAGAAAGCACGGGTGAGCCTGATGATCAAATTCAACCACCGCGGTTCCCTTTCGTCGTTGGACAGGGACAAGATGTACTCGAGTCTGAGCAGGCGGAGCAGCGCCAACATCGAGCTCAACAGCAAGACGCTGCCGCCAATCATGAAGAACTCCTCCAAGCCGGAGTCTATCAACGCCCTCATAGAAACCTACAATCTCCAGAAGAAGTCTCCGCTACAGATTTCCAGGAAAATCAGCAAGGTATCTCATCCGGGAAACACAGATACAAATTTTTATAGAGCAGCCCGAGAAAATGGTAACAGTAGAAAAACAAGGGGGGAAAACGGGAAACAAGGCTAAAATATGCAATTAATAAAATCTGAGACGTTTCGACTCAAAACTGAGTCATTTTCAGTCGAAATTACCCACGGAACATCCACCTCGTTCCAATAATGGGGGGGGGGGCGTAGTTCTTACGCCCTCTTTATCTGCCTATGGGTGGGGGAGACGGGGAATGACGACTCAGGAAAATACTGAAAAAGGTGCTGAGGCAATCAACTTGAGATGTTGAGGTGACGTATAAATGGACTGCATTTTGCAATTTAGACCTATAAATTCTGGCTCATCTGAAAAACACTTAGGTGCATAGGGAAACTAATGGCACATACGTTGTTTTTAAAACGGGCCGGAATTTATAGGTCCAAATTGCAAAATGCAGTCCAAATGTGCATTGGCCTATCGGTCAGTGAGAATGAATGTACAACCATTTTCAACAAATTAAATTTTGGCCAAATTTTGACGAATTTTCTACAAATTCAATCATATTGCCCCGAGGCTTCCCAAAACAGGTGCCCCGCGGATTGTATGGGGCCAATTCACACGAGCTTTAGATAAGGGTCCGCATAGTCACCCCGCAAAAGAATCAGACATGAACCTGGAAAAAAAGAAAGAATCTAGTATAAACACAGCCAAAGACAGGAGAGACGTATTCGGTTCTCTTACTAAACTTTTCTCCCAAACCTGAGCGATACCTTATTGGCAGCATGTGTATGGCGAAACATTGCGAGTTCACGCTTCGCGCCCTGGCGCCTTCAATTTTGCGGATGCAACACGGACATCCATCAAGCACGAATAGTTGTACATAGGGTGTCCCAAAAGTACTGCCCCTTTTTCCGCAGAGGGCGAAAGAATGCAGATATCAAAATGCGGTTTGTGTGAGGTTATAGTCCTAGTAATTATCTATATGACAAGACCAAGTTGAGCTCTGTAGCTTAAAATTTGACCGAGATACAGCATTTTGAAAATGACGTGTCAAGGTGCCGCCTACGAGATTTTCAACATTTTTTACGGACGAACCCTAGGACGAACAGACACGACGCATCTGCAGGTGGTCCTTTAAGATCTGGTGCAATGAACTTTTTGAGATGTCAAGCAACACCTGAAACTTACGCAAGGATAAATGACGGTCTCCTCGAACAACAGCAGCAACGGTACCGATTAATTCGTCTGTAGTGGAGGTAGACGGTCGGCCCGGTTTCGCGGGACTTTCCGCCGATTCGCGGCCGCCAGAAAAAGATTTAAACCAACGACCAATGCTACTTCTGTCCAAACAGTCGTCTTTATACACGCCTTTCATTTCATTAAAAGTGTTTTTTACTGACATTCCTCGACGAAAACAATAACGAATTACGCGGTGTTGTTCTTTTCTTAATTCGGTACTCATCGCGAAAGAAACTTCCAAAACGACAGAGGGATGAACTCAGATTGACGTGCCGGGAAAGCTTGACCAACTTGGATGGCACTAGCGGACACTTTCAATCCTGTCGTTGGTCTGCATAGGGGCGCTTACACGTTGCCAAATGCCGCCTAAAACACAGTGTTGCCATATGTTTCTGGCCGCTTCTTCTTCTTTTTAAAACCGTTTCATTCTTAAACTTGGTTTTTTCTTTCGTAAGAAATGTTGAAAATCCTGTAGGCGGCACCTTGACACGTCATTTTCAAAATGCTGTATCTCGGTCAAATTTTAAGCTACAGAGCTCAACTTGGTCTTATTTTATAGGTAATTACTAGGACTATAACCCCACACAAACCGCATTTTGATATCTGCATTCTTTCGCCCTCTGCGGAAAAAGGGGCAGTACTTTTGGGACACCCTATGTATCTCTGCGCCGTCGTCAAGGCGCGTCCTCTCCATTGCTCTACTCCCATATATGGTGTTGATTTCTTTTGTCTCATTTTGTTGAGGTGGGACCACTGAATGTAGTCCCCTCACCTGTAATTTGTAAGCATTTGTAAAACATAAAATTTGCATTCCAACAGGTTCATGAAGAGAACGAGGTCCTTGCTGCTGAAACAAATTCTCAACTATCTCTGAATCTAACTCATAGTAATAGCACTACCCCAGTGCCTCAGCTCCTGGTAGATGAATCTCGGCCTCGCAGGTGAGAATTCTTACTTATATTCTGAATAAAAAACGCCGTAAGAACAGTTTCAGGATATTCCGTCAACGATTTTTGTCCACGTACCTGTTTTGTCCTGTAGTTTATGTCCATGCGTGAAGTTAGCAACAGTGACTTGGTCCAAGCGTTATATTTTAGTCCATCTGTAAAATTATGCTGAAAATATCGAAAAAATAAGAAAATTTAGAGAGAAGGAGGCGTTGTTATGGTAACTCATTTTTTCAATGAGACGCTACTTTCTTCTTTGTCGTTGGTGAATATTTGGTTTTATTTCTATCCTTATGCCTTATGTGTACCTGTTTTCTAATGAATATATTACTTCAAGTCGAGAGCATTTACATTTTTAATACGTGGCAAACCTTGTCCAAGGGATGGCATCTATATCAATGAGCCGTAGTGGTGTTGAGAGGAACTATACAAAAATGAAGAAAAGAGGGAGAAGTACGCAATCTTTGGTTTTAACCCATGCGTACATCGATCTTTTAAAGACAAATACGTCTAATTTTGAGCGTTTAGTTGCTCGTGCACCACGTTTCAGCTCAGTAAAAGCACAAAATACATATAAAGAAAAATTAAAGTACTTTGGAAGTCATTAAAGTTGACAAGGAGTTACCTTAATATATACTAAACACATTATATTTTCCTTAGATACATATTTTTTTTTCATCAATTCAAATGAGAATCATGCAAACATTCCATAATCATAAGTTGAAAAACGCGGACTCCGCGAGTGTAAACATAACAGTCAAATACAGAGCGGAGCGGTGCGGCGTGCTGCCAGCGCGACACGCGCACTGGCCCCTACAAACCTAACAGGAATACTTCACGCATTGCGCAATGCGTGAAGTATCCCTGTTAGGTTTGTAGGCGCCAATGCGCGTGTCGCGTTGGTCGCCCTCGCCCGCCGCGCCGCTTCAAGCAACTATTTCGCAACAGAGGTGCTGCACAGTATCATACGAAATTGAACGCGCCAAACATATTAAGAATGACATGCATCCTCTAAGAGTATGGAAATTTCCTCGCAAAATAAATCAAGATACTACGGCACAAAAAGAAAGTGGTAGTCTAAAAACACACGAAGTCCTAGCATCTGTATTTAGTAACGTTTAGCTTAATTTTAGATTTTCATTAGAGAAAGAAGTGTCTCAATTTAAGCAGAAACATTCTTGAGTGTGCCGTCAAGAAGATTTTATTTTGCATCAAGAATAAAATGACTGAATGAGAGCGGGATTATGCTTGATGTCAGTGACTTCTCTTTTTAGATAAGCATAATATATGTATCTTCTTCTTTAAACAAGCATTATATGTTCTGTATTGATTCAAAAGAAAATCTTATCAGCAGTAAATTTGAGCATATTTCTGATTGAATCAAGTCACTTTTTCCTCTAATGAAGTTCAAAAATCATGGAATATTTGCTGATCATTCAAGATGCTCAGTCAAGGCCGAACGCATTATTGAAATACACGAAAACATAATCCTATTGACCATTATGCTAGAGTGACTCTCCTTATGGATTAGGCAGTTAGCCACTTAAACATGTACTTTTTTCTGTTTCAGCGATTCAATTCAAGAAGAATGAGAGGAATACTTCAGGGAGACCATTTAAAAACTCTACGAATTCAACAAGAACTCAGGAACTTAGGGTTAACCAAAGCATTAGAGCTCCGATCACTTCTGCTGCCTAGAACACTGTAATAATTTTTGGTTGATGTGAACTAGCAGGTTTCTTCCATAGACACATACGAACTGAATCGAAGACTCAAAGGATAATGCACATTGCACATGGGTGACTGATCCTTTAATTGGAATAACTGTAAAAATAAAAACAAAAATTACTTGGGGGTTGATGATGACTTTCCAGCATTGAAACGGAAAGGAGAGAGAGCGTTTTTGATTGGAAAACTAGGTTAATTTGGAGAAATCAGACAAGAGGTACCTATCCTTCTTGGAGGACTAAAAAGCTTTGAATAAATGATTGGCATTCAATTTTGCACATTAACACAAGGATGGATGAAAGGAAAACACTTTAATTATTGTTGTCTCTGTAAATACACAACTTAAATTTGAACTATGAGTTTAATAAAACTTGACCAGTAAAAATGAATTTTGATTTTTAGCTATTCTCATACAAACACGAAATAATGAGTCAATGGACATACCTACGAGATTCTTAAAGGACATGCAGCTATCTTAATGTAGACTTAAGTTTTTTCGGGAAAATTTCATCAGCAACCGGCTTATCACATTAAAGTCATCCAGGACAAAGAGATGAAAAGTTTTTAAAAATTACTATGTCCTAATTGGCAAGATCTATAGACCTAGGTTAGTCCGTTAGGAAAGTTGAGTATGATAACCTTTGCAACATTACAACGCTGCAATACAACGTTTCTCCACAAAAGCTTAGGCATAAAACAATCCTTGGTGAAATGTAAGATAGGTGGCATTCTTGCATTGGCATTTGGTTGAAGAATTGGTTTAAAATTTTTTCTTCATTTTCCCCAGTTTCTGCGAGAAATTTTTAAGATGGTACACTGAAGCAAAAATTTCATAACAATTTTCACTCGAAGCTTTTTGTAAAAATTATACAAGACTCATAATCAAGACTTACTTAAAATATATGAACTATTCATTCAGACCCATTTTGAAACTTTAAATAATCCTAATTTTTCAGGAATCAGAAAACGGAATGGAACAAGAGATGCTAGGATGATAGGTACCTTTTATTAAAAGTCATGATTACAGAGCATTAATAATACAGAGCATTAAAAAAGAAGATTCTTTACTTACACATTTAAATTAGAGATTATGTACAATCTTTACACTGATTTTTCATGAAATTTATCACAGATAGAAAGTTGAACAGAAATGCATTATAATCAATGGCTTTTAAGAATAGTGCAGTCACAAAATGAGTGATTGCATAAAAAAGAGAGCTCTTGGTAAATTCTCCAGAAATTCGTAGTTGGCACTCAAAAATTAAAAACAGCAGGAATGATTTGAAAGAGAGACTAGGATTTAAAACAACAGAAGAAAAAGTGACGGAAGATATAGATTTGCCAATATATTCCAAAACATAATGATGCGATTAAAACAATAATTTAACATTCAAAGTGGCAGAGAATTAACTATTTTTTTGAACTGGTTATCAAATACTGACGTATGCTACGTATCTTGATCCAATAAAATCCAATCATTGCTTTCCTTCATAATTAATTAATACATATTTCTATACACGCGAAAAAGGGTAATAAGGTTTTTTGATTTCCTTGAACATTGATTGTTTTTTAAACAGACTCTAGAGGACTTTACCTTAATCAAATTTTTAATTTTCGATAATTGTAGGGATGACTGACAGCAGATAAAAAACTGTCCAGCTTATTTTTAGATCTACGATTAGGAGTAGAGTGCCGATTATATCTGGTCTTCATTTGAGAACTAAGGTCAGATGAATCAAATATTTTGAAAAGCGATTCACTTGCAAACAATTTGATTTAGTAATGAAACTAAATTTAATTTTCTACACCACTAAAAAAACATTCTTTCATACAATGGATTTTTTAATAATGTCTCATCACAGAATTTCAACCATTGTTGCTGTTTTGATTCAAATTAAAAAAAATTACACTACTTTTGTAACAAGTCAACTGTTTGAAAATTTATTTTCCAAATTAAACCAATTATAATTAGAGAAATCGATTTAGTTTGACTTGAAAGAAAGAAAAACAAATTAGCTAAGTTTTACTTGGAAAATGAAGATTAAATATGATTGGGTTCTAACTATTTAGCTGTTGGCATGAAAAAGAAAAAAAAAATGATGCCAACTTCATACACTTCAAAGACAAGAAATATAAATGTATTAATGACAGGATATACAATTGTAAAATAGACGAGATTAAATTGAGAAATGGAGCATTGGAGGACACAGTACAGTGGCGATTAGATGTTACACAGCTCCAGGGAGCACCATAAAAGCGGCTTGTATGTGTAAGTGTAAATTGGAAAATGTGAAGATATTGTCCATAATTTAAAAGGAACATGTTAAGGAATACAAACAAAAAGAGAAAAAAACAGAGATTGGTGTGTGGCAAATTGCAAAAGATTCTGAAATCAAATTTTTGATTTCTCAAATTGCCGGTAAATATTTGTACTATTTTTCATTCATACCTTCTCATAAAAATAGTGAGATTTAACTTTTTATTCATGAACTGATAGGTCTGACTTAGTTTGCATTTTCATACCATTCCTACTTGCATTGAACAAGAAAATAATTCAAAAGTAAAAACTTATCTTAGCTTCACCGATTCTATGAGTCCAATTGACATACTAATTTGTGTTCCGAAAAAATAGCTGAAGCCATAGCATAAAATCCTTTTGAGTTTGAGCTCCTCTTGGAAAGCAGCTTTATCATGCATATACATACTTTAAAAGTAACATTTTTACAACAGTGATGTATGACAGAATTTAGGGTGTTTTTCTTGCAATAAAAACACAGACAAAAATAAAAAAAAATTTAAAAAAAACCTTTTTTCAGTGGACAAAACTAAATATAAGAGATGCAACTGAAAAATAGAAGAAGAACATTATTCTTTGGATCTAAAATTTCAATGAGTGAAAGAATTTCCAGGAAATGCCGGAGCATAGGACACAGCTTGAAAAGTGTTTTCATATTCGTGCAGGGGAAAATCTACCGGGAAATTATGAGGGCCAAATTGTTGGTGATACGGTCCGTTGCGGTGGAACAAGTTCTGATACTGGTGCTTTGCTGGAATCATAGCTTCCTTGGGAACAAAGTGATTTGAGTTGGTTGCGTATTTAATAAGTTCCATGCTGGGTTCCCTCATTTCCTTGGGCGGTGGAGTTGGGGGAGTTTTAGACGGTTCTTCTTTTGAATCATCTTCCCCTTCGTTTCTGGGAGGTGGTTCTATTGCATCAAAAGATCCTCCTTGGTTTCCTATTCCTAGGGAAGCTTCATACTCTCGAAGTTCTTCCGGATGCATGCGTCTCTTGTGAGAACGACAATTGGACCCATTGGCAAAGGTCCGAGAACAGAATTGACAGACGTACGGTTTTTCTCCAGTGTGCAAATTTTTGTGATTCTGGAACAGGCAAAATTAAAAAATGGTTCAATAACTGACGAGTTAATTTTTCCATATCTTATATAAGGTCATCACAAATTTGAAAAAACCTGGACCTCCATTGTAATAATTCAGAATTTTCAGTTTTACTTCTTTTTTTCGAAAGAATATTACCTGATATTTTTAAATACAATTATCAAAGAGAGGATTCCGGAGAGAGTGGCAAAAATATTACAAAATGTTGTTCAAAAATATTGAATGGTTATCCTTAAATCAAGTAAAAAATGACAAGAAATCTAGCATTACAAATCAGGATATTGATTCATCTCGTTTCATCATTGATTGATTCACTACCTCTCTGATTGCTAAAAGGGAGACAATTTGTTTTGTGGATGAATACAAATATCTCTACATATATCCCGTGAGCCATGAATTTTTATTTAGTCAAATATTTATAGTGAATTTGCAAGAATGGATGATATTTTCTACTATACTACTTTACACCATAAGTTATTTTGCCACAGTCCCACTAATGACAAACATTAAGTAACCAATGCAAATTCAATTCTTTATTGATTGATGGAACGAAAATGGAAGAAACAAAAATAGAATAGTGGAAAGGTATTTACTGTGTTCATTCATAGGTGATACCTCTGATTTTACTGAGCGCAAAAAACAGACACACAGAAAAGTTCTCATTATTTTGTGTTAATCTGTACGCTTCAACCATCAAAGAATGATTCTGAAGCTCTTAAATCTGACTTGACAGCATTATAGTAGTTTCTTATATCAGATATCATATTTTGCAAACTAAATATTAAACATATCTTAATACTTCCTTTTTTCTTGATTGTTATTCTTTCAAAACTCACATTAAGACAGCATGTATTTCATTCTTGCCGGTCATTATTAAGTGAAAAAAAGGAATGCAACGAAAATACAAATTAAACAAAGTTAAGAACAGTAAAAGTGAAGCAACGTCAATTGAACTCTTATGCTCAATGTTATCAGCAGTTGGGAGGTGTTGCAACATGTGAGCAATTTTTGACTTATTTTCATTTGAGTTTCTGTTTCAGTTCTTTTTCCATCAAATGATTTCCAGAGAGGCTCAAATAAGTATGTTCTGAGAATCACTTATGATAACTAACAATGAAGAAAAAAAAGAGGCTAGGTGTGACTAAGACACTGTTCTGAATTATATACAACAGGGCCTACAGTTCCTCATGGAGCTTAATAAGATCAGTCAAGGAAATTCAATGTAGGTCCAAGAATTTTTATGAGTGTAATAGCTTTCTACTTAAGCACATTTGTAAAACTTAACTCCTGAAAGCATACTATACCGTTCTTATTCATTTATATATTTCTGTATTTTGATTATAGTTTCTTTTCTTTTTCTTTACTTTCTTTATAGCTCAAAAAACTTTGACAGATTGTGGTTATAAAATTGAATTCACGTGCTTACAAAGTTAAAGTGAATCTTTGCTTCATTCAAGACATTAAGCTACAGAGAGAATACTTTTATTCTGAACTTACTCCCAGTCAAGCTAATTCTTTCACAATGCACAACTTTGATTTCAAAATAATGAATTTTTTAAAACAATTATCAAATCTTTCAAACTCCACATCATAAATGGACGTATTTCTGTCAAACGGAACTATGTGCATTATGACGTGAGCCTTGCTGAGCATCTATTTTTATAGGTCTCAGGGCTCATGTCTTAATGCACATAGTTCTGTTTGATAGAAATACATCCAAATGATTGATGAGCTTTCACAAAGAGAAAAGAGTAAGATAAAATGAGCAGCAATCAGCCTACCTTTAAATCTTTAGATCTGCGGAATGCTTTTCCACATGTTGGGCACTGGTAGGCTTTTGTGTCGCGATGAATAACTAAATGCATTCTTAACGTACGCCGAGTTGATAGCTGCATTGGACAATGAGGACATAAATACGGAGTGTCTCTATGGATATCCATGTGGACGTTCAATCGATACTTCGTTTTGAACCTGAATCGGTCAAATCAATGAATTAATATATTGGTGGTCAATGGGTATAATACACACAAATTATACAACCAGCTCATCAAACCCAACCATGAGAAAATAATGTTGAGGGCATTTAAAAAATCTCTAATCCATTCTTTGATGGACAATTTGTGTACAAAGTCCATCTCGCATTTTCAAATTTTCAAGGGTTGTTAATACTTTAATCTCAGTTGCTGGCAACCAAGTTTTCTGATAGAAATGTATGACAGCATGACGAAAATGAACAAAAAGTTTGCAACATGTTATCAGACATCCTTGTAAATGATTCTCCTGTTTAAAAGCGTTCTTTTTTGCCATATTGTTAAAGTAAATGAAAGAACAACATAAAGAAAAATTTTAAAGCCATGTTTAGAAGAGCTTGACAACAGCACTTTACACTGTTTATTTATTTAGGTTCGGTTTTTCTATATCCCTTGATTGGCAAACTTAGTTGCTTAGAGGTTAGAAAAAAAAAGAGAAAGGCAAAGACAGCATGGATGCGGGGCATTTGGAAATGAATGATAAAAATTATATGCACATTGTGTATTGATAGGTGGATTTTACACTTTTCTGATGAATGAATTAGTCTGTTGTACGCAGGAGACACAGCTAAAAAATTGTACTTTTTACGGGTAAAATCGCACGAAAATCACGGTCAGCACATCAAAAAATTCTGAAATCTATTCCTTAGTGCGCAATCTGCAGAAATTGTAACACGGTTCTTCAAGTTTCCTTATCATCGATATTCGAATAACGATAAAAATTTTGCGAGTTTTACCTACATGTTGCAGAACGTTAATTAAGATCACAAACATCACACAATTTTCACCTCAATATCGTGGAAGATACGCGACCTACCCCTAGATTCAAGCAAAATATTCATAAACGTCAGTAATATGAGATGAGATAAAGGCTAAGATTTTCCTTCAATTTTGCAAGATACTACATACCTACTCCTGAGTTTGAACAGTTGCTTGCACGATTTTCGCATACGAAGAGTGAGGAACTGCGTGATTTTCATCTTGATATTGTGAGAAAAAGTGATATTCTGGCGGATTACTTAATCAAAAGCAATTACATGCTTTTCACAGTCCTCGCCAATCAGGTTTGAACAGACGGAGAGGTAAGAAAAATTAACTTGAGTAAAGAAACGACTTCTTTTTACTTCACTTCTTTTTTTAACTTTGTCTATAATATGATTCCAATCTTGTTAAGGCGTTTGTTTCCTGTTTCTTTCTTTATTTTGCAAAAACAAAAGCTTTGAATTATTTGAAATCTTATGCAAGGAGAGTTTAAAACAGTTCACAAGATTGTTTGTTTATTTAGATTAGGTCTCTCTCCAGGCAAATCTAACTGCCAGCCACCAAGAAAAACTGCCAGCATACGCGGTAAATTTGAAAAAGCATGTTAAAAACTACACAGATTGCAAGCTAAATAGTGAATTTCAGATTTATTTTAAGTGTCCAGCGTAATTTTCGAACGAATTTACCCTTAGAAAGTGTATTCAGTTGGCTATACCTCTTGCGTTTAACAGACCTATTACATTGGGTTATTATCAAAAAAGTCAACTCAGTTGGTAGCTTTACTTGTGGATGATGTTTACTTTCTATGTTTTAAGTTTCGTATGAGTATAAACAGCTTCATAAGACCAAGGTTATCATTACATTCTAACATTATCATTATTTAAGTTTCACTTAATTATGCGCATAACAGTAAACATACATGAATATCACTCAGCATAAAGTGTCCGCCTAACAAGGAAGTTTTGAAAAAACTCTGCGCTACTAAGGAACTTAAATGAAGTATGTATACATTCTTATTTTCAAATACACTTTGTAGATGAATCTCCTACTTAATGACGCCTCATGTTGCTGCTTGAAAAATTGAAAAGAATAAATATAAAGTATAGATAAAGGATGGAATTCTTTGATTAAACAAGATAAAAATACAAGCGTACCTTTTATTGCAAACAGTGCAGACCCACGGCATTTCATCACTATGCACTGTCAAGTGTTCCTGGAGAATACCTTTGGACGCAAAGCTGTTTCCGCACTGATCGCACACAAATGGTTTTTCTCCAAAATGAATTGCTTTCACATGAGCAGAGACAGCAGATTTGCTGCAAAAACTGTAAATTAAAAATAATGATTAGAGAAGAAGTACCCTAACATTTAAAATGACTTCCTGGTAAATATTTACTCTCGGAGGCAGTGCTTAAAAATTTTAGATGTGCAAAGAGTTCAAAACAGTTCATGCTGTAATATGCTGTTCATTATGATCCTGCTAGAAGGCTGTCGTTAAAAAAAAAAAAAAAAATAGTATTTTACAATTGACTGAGGTAATTCAGAATATAAAATTGGTGCTAATTGCCTCTCTTGAGTAAAACAGCAGTTAGGCAATCAGAAATACATCCATAAGAGGCTGTCACTCACAAAGGGAACTTCCCAAGTTGCCGCCCCCAATTGGGCTGAAAAAATTCATACGAACTCTTCAGATGAGTCCATTGGACTCGTATATATTTGTTTTATTCAATGCGCCCTGGAAACACCCCAAAAAAATACCGAAAAGTCTTCTTTTGAGCGCTCGAGCGTATATGCGCAGTTTAGCAGCATTCCTCTCATATGAGGCAATGGCTCTGCATTAAAGAGCTTGCCTCATAAGCGGGTGGTCCCAGGTTTGATCCCTGTGCTAGGGGACTACATTTTCGATCGAATTTTATATCCTCACAAATTTTCTGCAACAGCATCTCACATCGAATCACATTTCATACATTGGAACTTAAGACATCAATTAATTTACAACCATCACCAAACCCGAATTAATCAATGATCAATAACTTCTTCAATTAGAATAGCTTCTTCTTCAGCTAAACTCAATCTTTTACTTACCTGACTTAGTTGAGCTAATATATACGGTAAAATTTGAAAAAGTAAACTGAAGAAACTTACTTCTTATGACAGACTTTGCACGGAAAAACAAATCGCTCTTCTTTCGGCAAATGAACTTTTTCATGGTTTCGCAGGAGAGCCTCACAATGAAACCGTCGTGCACACTTGCAGCAGACAAAAGGCTGTTCATCTTTTGGGACATGTGAAAGTAAGTGAGAGATGAGTAGAGACTTCCGATGAAATGATTTTTCGCAGTGCTCACACCTGTAAAAAGTCAAGAGTCAATATAAGAATAAATTCTTCTTGACATTATTAAGTAATTGAAGAAATAGGATTGATATATTAGATAGAAAGTTCCAGCTGAATGAAACAGATTCCGTTTTTCATTTCAGATTTTACGAAGGAGAGAATCTTAGCACCTTGAGGGGCTTTGGGAGGATAAAGGATTTTGTTGGTTGGGTGTCATGGACCGCTGAAAAGCAATGTAAAAGCGGTTTTGATGTATTTATTTCAAATTATTACAAAAATAAAAAGAAAATAGGAAAAATGCGGTGTCATGCTGACATACTTTGCTTTGACAAGACAGAGATGCAATCCAAGGGCACCAAATTTTCTAATTTTTCATGGTAAAAGCACTATGAATCAGATGGCATTTTGGAAGTCAGATTGATCATATCACTAATTACACCGGGGCAGGCTTTCGTACTGAAGAATAGCAGTGGCAGTAATAAGTAGTAAGTAAGGGCCCGGCTCACCAGTGAGACGCCCTCAAGGGGCCAAGGCAATTGGCTACTGCCGTCGTGCACCCCGAAGTTGGACCGTGCTCCTTAACTTTGTATAACTTTGTATAACTTTAGCATTGTGTAACCTCTATATTCCTGCAAGGCTCAGCAGCCGTCTGATGGCCGATGATAGGTCTTATCAAAGACAGTGGTAGACGCTGCAGAGCACAAATTGTCGGAGCACGACCATGCCTCTACCGAGTTGGACTGTGTTGTTGCAATCTCCACCGATAGGTAACGCTAGCAGTGGCTACGAGTGATCACCGATTTTTCCACAACTCAGTCAAACAGTGCAGACGGATTACTTACTGCGTGACTATGTCCCTCCCGCAACCTATTACCTTGAGGGGTCAGAGTATTGGAGTGGCATAGTCATCCACGGTCACGATTACTGATATTTGAGTGTCCTCAAATATCAGTTACCTCCGGGAATTGAACCCGGGACCTCAGTGTCGGCAGCGAACTGCCTTGACCACTACACCACTGAGGCTGACTTTAGTGGTAGTAATAAGGACTACAATGACTGGCAAGGTGCCCTCATAGGGCCAAGACAACCAGCAGAACCCAGCCATCGTACAACTTCAGGTCAGATCATGCTTCTGACTGCGTAACGATGACACATACAGTTCAGCAGTCTACTACCGAGCCAATGACAGGCTGTATTGACAACTCTAACAAACACTATTAAAAGTGGACATTTTTTTGGATCACAGCTATGCCCCCACCAAGTTGGGCTATGTTACTTCTATCTTCTGCTGACAAGTAGTGTTAGCAGGAGCACACACTACTAGTGATTCATGATTTAATCACATCACAGGCGAACAGTGCAGACTGACTACTATCAGATGCCTTCCACCCTGTTGCGAGACAGACAGGGTATTGGAGTGGCATGGTCATCCGCTGTGATAAGAGATCTATCAGTGTCCTTAAATACCTCAACACCACCAGGAATTGAGCCCAGGACTTCAGTGTTGGCAACAAACTACCGTACCCACTTCACCATTGAGGCTGGTGAGTGTTAAAATGGCAGGAAATATTACAATATATAACAATTTAAAGCTTACTTGAATGAGAAGTCTCGTGAGTGTTTGGCTCTATGTTCGATTATTGAAGTTCTGGTGGTGAGCCGTTTACCACAGGTACAGTCAACATAGGCCTTAGTATCATGCTCAGCTTGACAATGTTTGTTCAACGCATTCCAATTGGCGGACACATGCAGGCAAACATGACATGTAAATCTGTAAAATAATCCATCATTTGTCATTAAGTTCATACACACAAACTTACACAGTATTCTACAACAGACAATTTAGAAAAAACGAGCTTCTTGCTTTATCAATTTTTTTAAAATTCTTAGGCAATTGAAGATATGCAAGATGGTTGAGAAGACTTGATTTGAAATAGTTTTCGGGCAACCTTTGTTGTTTGAAACGTCAAACTCATTCTAGAAAGCAAATAAAGCTAATTTAACAATTTTTCCCTGACACTTTTGTCATTTTCTCCGACATTTACAGGTTTTCCCTGACTTGTAAAAATTCCCTGACGTTTCTCCGTTTTCCTGGTATTCCATGACTGGCACCATGCAACGATTAATGATCGTATTCAAGAAAATTCAATTTCAGGTGCATGTATTGTACTTCTATTACTTGCGATTAATTTCTTCTGCTATGCTCCTTTTCAATCACACTTTCCAACAATGTTAAATTGTTAACGATTCAGCACAACACTTAATTCTTTCAATTCAAAGATTAGTGTACGGCACCTATGATTGGAATAATAAATCAATTTAAATTTATACAGGGCTTAATTTTGAAAATTAAATGATGCTTTGAGCAAGTATAATGCATTTACAATGATTTATCACAAAAGAAAAACTCACGTGAAATGATTTGAAGAACTGTGTTCTTTTTGCTTGGTTTCTACTTTTTTACCGTCCACATTTTCATCAGTTCCGCACTCAACAAGCTGCCAATCACCACTGCCTTCACCTTCTTTATCTTTCTTTGTTCTTTTTTTACTAGTGCCATCAATTTTTTTAGGACGTCCAACTGCAGTATGAGAAAAGTGAAAAATATTAGGTAAAGTTGAAATTTTTTGGCCATCGAAAAATTCCTATCTTGGTGTAAAAGTGTAGTTCCAGCGCAAAATTATCATGACAACGCGCTGAAATTTTGTCCGATTATCTTGATTTGAAGCTGACATACAGTATTACAGTATTTGCATACACGGTACATATACTGTTAATCAGCTTCAAATTGTGATCATTGGACAGAATTATATTGGAACCCAAATTTTTACACCAAAGTAGGAATTTTTCGACGACTAAAATATTGCAGTCAGGGTAAGTATTAGGGATCTTTAGGGAGAGATGAAATGTAAGCACTGTTTCTACCCTTACAATAGACAGGCTGAGGACTTCTCTTTACTGCACAGTAGCAAGTGTCAAGCGAATAGGCAGGTCATCGTGACCAGATCTGTTGCGGTGCCATTTACATAACTAATCTTGATTTTACATTCAGGTTTTGTGAAATGAACTGTGGGGAACAATATCTTAGTTTGAAACTTTAGAAACTACCTGCCATATTTTAAGGCAGGAAAATTTACTGTTTTAAGTCTGTTAAATTTTGCATCTTTTACAAGCCCTCTGAAATATTTTTTCAAATTCAGGCAAGAACAACAGGTACCTGGGAAGGCAAAGGGTCAGTTGCGCTGGTCACAGAATCGTGTATTGATGCCCAATTTGTGCAGATCAGCTAAGAATAAAAGATTAGTCCAAACAGTACATTTCTACTTTGAATATCATTAACTGAGATATCATGCTTTGAAAAATACAGTTTTTACTACCGCGGCCATCCACCGCAGTAGTGACCCCCTTGGTTTCTTCCACCATTTTTTCATCCGTGCTTACATAATTTGGAAAATGATCAGTTCATTTCTTCGATTCCAAGAGCATTTTTTTTTGTAGATCAGCTAAAAATAATAAGATCTGTCCGACAGCAACCCTCTATACGTTCATTATCAACCAAGATATAGTGCTTTGAAAAATTTGGTTTCTGACGTCATCCACTACGGTAGTGACACTCTTGGTTTTTCCACCCTACTTTCATCAGTCGGTGATACACACATTTGCACCGGTTAGGGTTACTCAACGTGAAACTTGGATGAATGCAAGGTGGGAGAAACCAAGGGTATCTACCGCGGTGGATGATGTCATACAACTAATTTTCCGAAGCACACTGTCTTGGTTAAATTGAACGTAGAAAGTTGCTGTTTGGACAGATCTTAATAGAATCAAGCACCAAAATATGATTCTGAGACCAGCGTAATTGACCCACTGTACGGCGCTACATATTGAGATGAATGTCTTTTCAGTTATAATACTGCTGTAGAAAAAATACCTTTCTTTCTTGATTTTGCATTGGATGCTACACTCTTCAATTTCAATTTCTTAATAGGTTTACTGTGATTTAGTTTGCCATCTTTCTTCTTGTTTCCATCAATTTTTCCTTTTTTCCTCTTGGACGCGCTGCGTTCATCGGAATGATTCTCAGTGTAAGATGATTCCTGCTCTTTGGTTGGCCAAGCTTCATTGCTACTTTCTCCTAATTCAACGACAACATTATCGTCAGTTATACCAAAATCACTTTCTCCGTCCGAGTCCTCTTCCTGCACAGCATCTGGTGGCACTGTGATCAATAAATAGGAATCCTGAAATGATGAGAATGAATTGACAGTTAACAAGTGACGATGACTGAAAATTGTGCGTTATGATACAGGGAGTATTTATTCCCTCCATTAAACACACTATTCTAGACTATTTGATAGATTTTCTTAAAAATAATTGTGGCTGTAGGATTGGTTGATCAAAATAAATTGGAACAGTTACATCTTATTGTTCTAAAAGGAACAAGATTTTGTATATCAATGGCTAAAGTGCAAAACCACATATCTCCATTCCAGTGTTTCAAAATCATAGAGCAACAAGTCAACTCTATAGCTTGAAATTTGTGGAGCATTTGTCTTAAAGAAAGAAACATCAAGGATGTTTTTCAAGATATTATGTCGACTAGTTATCCAAAGACAAAAAGAAGTATGAAAGGAAGTCTGCAATGTTGCGAATGGATATATCGACGGTGTAAGTCGGCAATCACATAACTTGTTTGCCGCGTCTGGAAATCTTTGCCTCTACGTTATTATTTTAAAGGAGAACAAATTGACACAATTCCTTGAAGTTTATACAGAATTTTCTTCGCACAGAGAAGAAAAATCACTGCAGTTTTAAAGAATTGCCGCTGAACAGTTTTCCATTTAAAAAATAAAAGATGACAGGAAGTCTGCGATGTCGCAAACCGAGTTATAAGATTGCTGACTTACACTGTCGATATGCAGTTTAGCGCTTAAGCCATAACTACGTTTTCCTTGTTTGCTCAGTGGCTTGGGTGAATTTGTAGTTAAATTCCTTCATGTTGATCATTTTGGCTTTCACAGCCATTACCAAGTGTAAATTAGAAACTAAAAAAATTGGAACAACAGAACAAACGTTCAAATAGTGATAAGATTCCTCACTATCAGTAGGGATATGCAAAATTCAAGTTCTGCTAGAATTACACAATTTGCATTAGACAAAAATCATACATACATTTTCCAGTTTAACAGGTTCTGATAGATATGTTGATCTGTAGGACTCAAGATCGACCACTGAGTCTTTGTTTTGTTCAAGTGCTTCGAATAAAGATTGAACTCGGCTACACTGTTTGACAAAGTTGTCAAAACTGGACACATGTTTGTTACAATCATTGCAAACTCTTTGAGGAAAGTTCAAGTTGTCTTTCAACTGCAACAAAGGAGAAAAACGTATGAGGATATTAAATGAGGAAAACCGACCAACTTCAATCTCAGAAACAGCAGGTTTTCAATAGGTACTTACTGAATTCAATGAATGTAACTGGAACGTAAACTCTTTTTAACAAAACAACATCTTTCAAACTAACTGAAGCAATATACAAGATGTAGATATTTTTGCACTGGTATGAATTAATTGCAAAGGATCAGTGTGCCTCTGAACAGCAACTGAAGTAAAGCGTTCTTTGCGGACACAAGCATGTGCTAGCAAGAATGCTTTGGTGATAAGAAAAAAGGAACAAACGTGAAATTTGTTAGCTTTTGATTTCAATTGTGGGAGACGGTGATGGCACCATCTCCCACTGAGTATAAAGGCAGTTAATAAATATTGAAGTCTCTTCACTCCATTTTCTTTCGGGCAGATCGACACCCGCCTGGGAGGTCAGGTTTTTTTGCTCGAATGGATTTCTTAGAAATGGAGCTCAAAAACACAATGACTGGCAGCATAAAATTTTGGACAGCATCATGACAAACAATTTTTGAGAGGCTATAAAATCTAAACCATGCTCAATTTGTGATTGAATGTTATCAGCTTACACAGCTCGATAAACTTTAAGGTTAAGAATTCACAAATTTTAGTGCCATTGATCGATGAAGCAAAATTCACACATCTACGTTAACAGGTCGCAATCATGACAGAAAAAATAATTAATTTTTTTCCAATTCGGCATAAAAACACTTCTTGATACAGGCATGTTGTGATGAATACTGATAGAAGTTGGTCACATAACTTACCCTGATAGACAGGTATTTTTGGGCACAATTCAAGAAGAGATTGACTTCTTCGTTATCATCACTGAAATTGAGGGTATCTTCACAAGATTTAGCACAAAGACGACACCAGTTAGACCACGGTTCTTTCTTAATTATTCGCATAATGCGAGATTTTGTTTACAAAACAAAAGAATGATGACATTCCAAGGAAAGCTCGCTGCTTGAGGCTTGTGATAGCTCATTTCCACGGTTGCCGGTTTTCCCATAACAACCCGTTACCTCAAAAAGAACTTCCATGAAAATGCAAAATAACGGAAACTTAGTTTCAGGGAATGAATTTTTTTTCTAATAATATTTAATAATATTTCAGATTGATTAGATCAGAAGGTATGTATTAGTTTTCAAAAACATAAAAAAAAATATACATTACTTGACACTATGGCAAAAGGGTACCACTTCCGCTACTCACCACTAGGCGCGAAATACAAATTTTATGAAATTCCCACTGTATACCTGCACGATGGTGTCTCTGAGTTTTGTGTTATGATTCTTTTTTTAATTTTTCAATTTTTTTTTTTTTAAATGAATGCGATAAAATTGTTGAGAATCTCTAACAATTATTTATTGCTGGGAAAGTCGGTAATTTTACACACTCTTTCTAATCTTATTGATGGCTGAAGTTGAACAATGGTGCTGTCATAAATGAGGGGCTTGGAGGACAAGGCGTAGAGGTGCAGTTTTTCCTATTTCAAGAAATACGTGTTTGAAGTTTCGGAATTCCTTAAGGCGGAAAGAAAGTTCAAATTGACTTTTTTATGCTTAAAAATTGGAATTTGGGAGCGAATTTTTCCAAGAATACCTATGCATTGAGACTATTTTTGCTTGAAATCATTAATATCTTTGATTTTTTCAAAAACTGCTTTTACCTATGCGCCTTATCCTCCAAGCCCCTTAAATGCTTTCCATTAAAAAGGAACGAACCAAGTCACATGTAGGAAAAAATTAATCTTGAGCAGTTTTGAGCTTGACTAGTCACTCTCAGTTTGTTAGACAGTATGTCCTGGACCCCCTCCGTCCTTATCATCTAATATGATTCCTTGTGACGTCTTAAAATCTGCGATTATGTTTTATTTTTTTCAATAAAAATTATTAAACCGTCTTTTAAAATTTTCATGTGAAAATTTTTGAGAGAGTGAAGAAAATTCACTGAAAATTTTATGAAAAATTGTCGAATAGATTCCTTGTGAGAAAATAAAACACAGGCAGCAATTTGCAATTTTACAATTGACCTCAGTTTCAATATCTGGACGTTCTTCATAAGCCTCTAAAAATTCTACAAATAGTCCTATAGGATTCCTCAACGCTACAAGTGCCGTTTCTTGTGCGGTGAACAGATATACATTGATATCTTCTGGCAAGACAAAGGAATTAGATTAGTTTTGCTTGGATGGAACATGCTTCACTATATTCTGGCTTTCCAAACTCTTGCAATATCCGGCTAGATTTTAACAAAACTTCAATGGCATATATTTTAAAAAAAATCATATGTAAACTGAGGAACCTGGCTGAGGTGCCTGACTGGACTTTCAAACAAGATGATCATGAGGACCAACACTTTAACAAACTCTACCCGAAAGAAAGAGTATAGGTTAGAATGGAAATTTGATAAAAATCTCAATCAAATCAAATGCATTTGCAAAAACTTTTTGTGGAAAATGAGACGGTTTTGTCACTATCCAGTGGAAATAAATTTGTGTTTAATTAATACATAGGTATGGCATCAAGGATTATTAAGGAATGAAGCCTCTTTGGCCTGCTCCAAGATGATTGTGCTCTAAAAGAAATGGCCCGCTACATTACACACTTGCAAACTAGTACATAATGTATTATCAAAGCAGCACTGAGCTCACATTTTACTTGAAGATAAAATAAAAAAATATCATCACTAATCAGGCGCAAGTAATCAAATTTCTGATTCAAAACTGTGCACCCAATTTATAATTTATGGGTGATATGAAGAGAAGGTCAAAATAAAGCGAGGAGAGCTAGGAAATTTTAAAATTTTATTTTACAAAAAATAGCAATTACTTACACATAAGAACAATGATCTTTAAAACTTATTCAAACATTCAGATAAAACTTTCCGCAGGTGCTTCCTCAGTTTTTGGTCCGGCTCTTCACAGAAAATATGCGTGGATCTATCATCGATTTGAATCACAGTGTCTTGATTTTGCTGATTACAGGAAAATTTAAAATAGAATTAGAACCAGGAAAATGAGGAAGACACAGCATGACAAGGTACTAAATAACAACAATTAAGGAGGATTAATGAGACTGTTACACCTGAGTTTTTATCAAAACACAGTTTCTTCATGCATCTTGTATCATTAATGGTGAATTTTTGCTGCCTGGCTTCTTTTCAACTTCAATTGTCCGTACTGTGATTAATTTTTTAGCGCTTTGTGGCAAGCAGAGTAGCTACAATAGGATCAAGCGAGGACAAACTCAAATTCATTACCATCACGAAGGAACAATACTTGGTGGTCCTGGTCTCCCAGCTTGAACCTGACTTTTTTGTTTCTTTCTTTCTGTAATCCTGCTTATTTCTAAAAATTTTATTCTATTTGTGCATGCTAGAGCCAGAGTCCCAGAATGGCAGAATATTTTCCAAATATTTTAGGGCTGTGCGAATAGTGAATTTTCCGAACAAAGCGAATAGCAAATCATTTCGGCAACTATTCACGAATAGCGAAGCGAATAGCGAATAATTTAAGTCAATTATTCACAGCTACGAATAGTAAAACGAATAATTTGAAATGAATTTTTTAAGTGTGACAATTCGCAAAAATTACAAAAGGTACTCTGGAGCAACCAAGATATGCGGGCCAGTCGCAATTGCGCTCGCTGTTCGTAAATTCGGCAAAGTCGGTTAAGATCAAAGGAGATCCGCCGTTCGCGATGTCTCGGATGGAAGTGGAAGCCTTGCGCAGGTCCTCACAACGTTTCACGATTGCCACTCGGAAATTCGTTATTTTTGATGGCGCGAATATTTGAAAATTCGTTCCTCGTGACAGCGCGAATATTTGAAAATGTCAGTTCAAAAATTCACTATTCGCGACAGCGCGATTATTCGCACTTTGCGAATAGTGCGCGAGGCAGACGAAGCAAATATTCGCGGCGCGAATAGTCGGAATTGCGAATATTTGCACAGCCCTAAAATATTTATAACTGAGTGCTGCATTGTGAGGAATGTCTCCTGACTTTAAATTTTTGCAAGCATCCATTTCGAATCAATAATAGATTCGGAAGTTCGGTTTCTGTACTCCTTACTCTCCAGTTAATTTTTTATGAAAAAAAATTTAAATATGCACCCTCAGTGAAGGTTTTAAATACAAAAAAAAAAAATTGATGTCATTTGATTTTAAAAATAAGGGGAAAAGCTCTTACCAAATGTATGATGTAGCCAGATGGACTGGGTTCTACTTTGGCATCTGTAATACCTTCTTCATTTAATCGTTGAACAAAGAGATCTACATTAACAGTTCCCCATTCAAACTGACTATTCTGACTGGATTTAACTGGTAACAATTGATTTGAATCACCTTCACTACCTTCAAACATCTGGAAGTAAATATATTATGTACTTGTGAAACTATGCAAAACATTCTTGAAAGTGAAAAACTTAGACATGGTTAATATACCATGTAAACAAATTAAATTTTAAAAAAATAGATCCAGAACTTATCCGCTCTTCCTACCGGGGTGGGAAAGGGGTAAGAAAAATCAAAGCAGTCGCTTTGCTTTAAAATTGTCCAAAGAAGCCGGTGAGCAAGATTTAAATTACATTACATTATTAGTAACAGTACTTGTGACAAAATTTAAACAGTTGAAACTTCTAGAGTGAATGTCTGATTGAAGTATGCATGCATACAAGTAATATTAACTAGAGGTAGATCAAATTGATCACTGGAACAGGAAGATACAGCTCGATTCATAAAATCGCAAAGAATTCAGTGGCTAGGACACGTTAGCAGAATGGAGGAGGAAAGAATGCCGAAGAGAATCATGAAAGCCAAAGTTCTATCGAAGAGAAAGAGAGGAAGGCTACGGCTAAAATGGCAATGAGGTAGAGAAAGATCTTAGAGTTATGAAGGTGATTCATGTTTCATTTTCAAGTTCATCTTACAAGCTACAATTTGTAGGAAAAATAGGAACAAACTTCAAAAGAACACTCGGGATGTTAAAAAGGATATGTGGCGATAACAAATGGAAAAACCGTGGGAAGTGAGGAAGAGGGCTAACAAATTTCAAAATTGAGACATCACTGTTTTTTGGCATTTCTTGGCCTCCTGAGTGCATCCTAAGTTGCATGAAGGTTCATGTTTCAAATAAAAATTAATGAAATTTTTCATCTCAGTCCAGATCTATCACCCCTTGTTACAGATTTATCTTACGGATAGAGAACATGAATCAAGCGGTTCTAACATGGTGTGTTGGTACAGTGGACTCTCGATAATTCGAAATTGAAGGGAATCGGCTTTTTGTTTGGATTAGCGAGGTTTCAAAATAAAGAGAGTTCGAATTAAAGAGATTCTATGTGGAGAAATTTCGAAGTAGAGAGGTTCAAATATAGAGGGGCAAATGGACGGATTTACGCCAAAATGAACCAAAAATATCAGTTTATTTCTTTACGGAAGTAAAAATTACACTAAGTTATTATTAATTATTAATTAATAAAATAGCGGGGAGACATACAGGACTTGTTTACATGTTGACAATCCTATCAGCTCTTTCAGACACCCAGGTACATAAACAGTTGACTTCGAATTGTAGAGGGAATGTACCTTCTTATTTCGAATTATAGAGGGAGGACCATATTTACTTCCCACACTTCGAATTATAGAGAGAATTTTCGTCGCAATTTCGAATCATAGAGGGTCGCGCCAGCTTAAAAATTTCGAATTAATGAGGGGAGAAAAATACACAGATTTTCTTCGTATTATCGAGAGATTTTCAAGGGAAACAGACTTTCCTTCAAATTAACGAGGTTTTCGAATTATCAAGAGTCCACTGTACTTCAAACTTTATTTTGTATTTTTTTTTTTACGTGATACATTTTTGAAGATAGGTGTCTACCTATAGCACTCCATGGCAGTTTGAACTACAAATTGTGTATGCATTCATTGATAAATACAACACATGAAAAAAATATTGTCCCAGTCTAAGCAGAAAATAAATGATAATTACCTTAATATCAAAATGGTTATCTCTAACGACTAAATTTCCAGTGAGAGATGACAGCATGACTCCAGGTTTAATTTGAGTTGGAGTTAAGCAGCTGGCTAACTCTGCGCTTAACTTCACTTTGACTTTCTTCTTCTTGAGTGGAAGGGAAATAACTTCACCTCTTTTCATTACCAGTACTTTGTGGTCAGCCTAGAAAACAGAAGAAAAGAAAAACCATGAGCAGAGTATTTGGAGATTTCAGCAAATAAAATCCCACGCCAAGTTTTAGTTGACAAGAATGAAAAAATTTGCCTGAAATTTTAAAGAAACGATCTTATAGCATGTACCATCTATTAATGTATATTCTTGACGCAATATTGCAATATTAAACGCAATGTTTCTCCTTTTGCAGTCTTTTTATTTTAATGTATTTTCTGAAACTTGAAATTTTAGGTCTGAGAACCATTTGTTAACCATTTCCGCTTCAGTTCCTAGAATTCTTGTCAAATGAATGATTTTATCAAAATTTTTTATATCCTAAAATAATCAAAAGTTCTGTCGTCTAGGATCCAAAAGGTGTATAATCTAAAATTCCACTCAGTAACCACAATTCCTACAACTTGAATCTGGCGTTAATTTAATTAATCGAATCATGCAGAAAAAGTGCTTCCTTTTTTGATCAATTGATTTTGTGTAGACTGTAATTTGGAACCAGTTTTAGGACCAGAAACAAACTGGTTTGCTTTAAAACAAACTCTTGCTTAAAATCAGAACTGTGGTCGGTTAAAAATATGCTTCATGAAGGAGGGATTTGATTGACATGAATCGATCAAAAAATGATAACGTGGATCGATCGACATGAATTAATCGACTCTGATTCAATCGACAAATTGTTAAAAAACCGGTGTCGATTCGATCGACATGAATCGATCGAAAAATGAAAACGTGATCAATCAACATGAATCGATCAAAAAATGAAAACGTGAATCGATCGACATGAATCGATTGACACCGATTCAATCGACAAATTGTTAAAAAACCCGTGTCCATTCGATCGACATGAATAGATCAAAAAATGAAAATGTGAATCGATCGACATGAATTGATCGACACCAATTCGATCGACAAATTGTTAAAAAACCGGTGTCGATTCGATCAACATGAATAGATCGAAAAATGAAAACGTGAATCGATCGAAAAATGAAAATGTGAATCGATCGACAAGAATCGATCAACACCGATTCAATCGACAAATTGTTAAAAAACCGGTGTCGATTCGATAAACATGAATCGATCAAAAAATGAAAACATGAATTGAACGACATGAATCCATCAAGAGCTATTTTAAAAAAAACCCGTATCGATTCTATCGACTTGAATAGATCAAAAAATGAAAACGTGAATCGATCGACACCAATTCGATCGACAACCGTGAATCAATCGACAAACCAGTGAATCGATCGACAAACCCAAGAATCGATCCACAAACCTGTGCGTTGATCGACAAACTCGTGAGTAGATCAACAATCCCGTGAATCGATCGACAAACCCATGAATCGATCGACAAATCCGTGAGTCAATTGACAAACCTGCGAATTGATCGACAAAAGCCGTAAGTCGATTGACAAACCCGTGAGTCGATCGAATTTTGTCGATCGAATCGGTGTCGATTGATTCACATCGATCGATTCATGTCGATAGATTCATGTCGATCGATTCACATTTTCATGTTTCGATTCGATTCATGTTGATCGAATCGACACCAGTTTTTTAACAATTTTTCGATCGAATCGGTGTCGATCGATTCAAATTTTCATTTTTCGATCTATTAATGTCGATCGAATCGACACCGGTTTTTTAACAATTTGTCGATCGAATCGGTGTCGATCAATTCATGTCGATCGATTCACATTTTCATTTCTCAATCGATTCATGTCCATCGAATCGACACTGGTTTTTTAACAATTTGTTGGTCGAATTGGTGTCGATCGATTCATGTTTTCATTTTTTGATTCATTCATGTCGATCGAATCCATTCCCTCCCTTCATGAGCTGTAACTGAAAACGATTCTCACAGCTGGCTCTCAGCCCTGCCATGGACTCATGGTGCATCTATTCAGTATGTTTGAGCCTACCTTCAAACCCACTCCCTTTATTTACTTGAGAAAGTTGAGTAGATGCCAACCTGTTGGATGACTAAATCAGTTCGATGAGGCAAAGAAGGCGGAGGAACGGTGTAGCAGTCAGGTAGAACTAAATTTGCTGGTTTTAATTCTCTTACTAATTTATTTGCCTGGACAAAGTTTAAACTGGTGTCAATGGGACAATGGACTGCTTTCATTGCTAGGGGTTGGAATGGGGCTAGAGCATCAAGATAGGCAAAATCAGGCTCTGAAACAGAAAAATATAAGTACACTATTCATAACCTTATAATACTCGATTAACAACTAATACTCTTTGCAGCCTACCTTGAAATGGGGTCGTTTCATGATATTCTTCTTCAATTTATTTTTTAAAGCTTGGCTTAGTGTTGTGGTGGCATGTGTGACAAGTTATTATTTGCAGCTTTTCTAGTCCTCACAACTTGGAAAAAAAGTTCAAGAGATGTGGAGGGAATTTTAAAAGAGGCTTCTTCTAGAGCGTCAAAGTCATGGTATGACCATGTCAGAGGTTGCCTCAATTTATAGAAATCTTTAAATACCAAATTGATAAAGGAAAGTGAAAAAATAACTCTTCTGCCTACATTTCATTTAGTTCATATACACCTATATTACACATAGTCTTATCGCAAAGAAAAATGATGAAATTTGAGGTTGAAGAAGTAAAAAAATAGAGATAGAAATGGACAAAGTATATTAAAATGCTGAAACTTGGGTCACGAAAGTTTTTCTTCCACTGTATCTTTTTGTTATAAATTCATGCATGGACGATCTATGTTGTTGATTTGTATACTTCTTAGAAAGCTTGCTGATAATGGGTATGCAATACCTGCCATGGTAATCTAAGAACCACAAAAAGCAAATCTTTCAACACTGGCAGTCACATCTCAGATATAATGTTTTGCAAAAAGTTGGGTAACTTTACTTCACATGTCATTAAGAATTAATTAGATTTAAGAAAAAAAAACTTCTTTAAAAAAAAGAAAAAAACTGCAGCAGTTCTTTAATAGGAAGAACTGAATCCCTTCTCTTCAGAAAAGAAAAAAAAAAATTGGGGTAATTTTCCTCATTTTGACATAGATTAAACAAGAAGCATGTTAATTTTGTTTAGGAACCTCATCGTTCACGAAATCTTACCTGTGAAAATGATTGTATGAGCAGGATTTGATCCCCACAGTTCTACAAAATGAACAGAGGCTCCAAACCGAAGGCTAGGATGACCACAAAATACTACACAAGGCTAGAAAAAAAGCGATCATAAATGTGAGTATTTTTTAGATTTTACGACTTTTGTAAGTCAAGGCTAACTTTGGTGAAACTCTAGAATATTGCAGAGGTTAATGCCTAGTGCATATGAATACAGTTAATATTTAAAACAAGTTGTGAATTCAGTGAAGATTATAGAAATTAGAAATGCCTGTATATTACCGCCAAAGTATCCGTACCTAATCAGTTATCACCAAAGGTACATGAAATATAGATTTTGGTAGGCCTACAAAGGAGTTTAAAACTTGAATAATAGAACTCTTCATATCTCCAAGATTATTATAGGTATGTGTGCGTTTAGCTCTCAAATTTAGATCAGGGGCAAAAATTTAAAACATAATGCACTTATGATGACAAAGATTCTTCAAAATTCAAGTCAGAATGCAGAGATATGTTGCCAGAAATTAATGTTGAGTGTATACATATACGTTTCACAGTTTATAGCACACTTCAGAGGATAACAAGGTATTTTTGATGTTTAGATCTTGTTTACGATTGGATACAATTAGACTAAGCAAGTTTGAAAGTTACCATTCTAAACTCAGTGTTGAATCCATTTGCATAGATGTGTGTGAAGTGCTTCAACCGGCCCATCTTCACTAAGTATGCATGAGGAAACGGTTCTTCTGGCATGAAAACTCTATTTTGTTTAACTTCGGACAGCCTGTGAACATGATTCGCGGATAGAATAGAGGAGGGCATTACAATCCATTGACTTTCATGGAAAAAAATCTTGAAAATTCTTAGAGGTAAAAAATGTCACTTATGGAATAAAACAATCCTGCAGATCCTGAAAACCTCCTAAGCTGCATTGAAAATTATGGTAAACCATTGATCTACGACATTGTGGCGGCTCTGAAACTAGGAGGAGTTTGATACTTTTCTGTCAGAGAAGCTAGATGGGAAATTTTTTCAGTTTCTTTTTGGTTTTTCACTGCCTCCCTACATTTTATTTTTTGTTTGTTACTTCAGCCTGTTTTCATTGTTTGCAGAAACCTGCAAGAGCGGAGCCTGCGGTGCTAAAATTCAGTTGGCTAAAATCTTAGTTGGAGCTGTCTGCCATAAAAAAATGTCAAAATACTTTTTCTTGGCTAATTTTTGCTCATCCATTGATATGTTAAAATTCAAATACAAAAACCCAAAAATATGAAACTCTTTTCAAATAGACCTTAAATTTTCTCTCATTGAGAATTTACGTTGGAATTAACTAGAGAATTCAAACAATTTGGTTACAGGGTTGGTTCTTAATGTATGGTTTTGATTTGGTTTTTAATTCAGTGGGCTAGCTGAATGTGAATAAAACTTGTTTTTTCCACTTTTAAATACATGTGAAAGTAATGGAAAATAACCGACGATGGAATGACATGAGATTCTTACTGAGAAACAAATATATTCTGTAACAATACAAACTAATTAGGCAGTTGTAACAACCAACTTACCACTCAGCTAGGATATTTGAATATGCTAAAGAGGTATCAGCAACAGGAGATATGAAGAACATTGGTATTTGGGAGAGGGATGAGCTATCCAGGTGCGCTGATAAACATTCAAACAGGTCGTATATTACACCAGAAGGGTAGCAGGGAATCAGGACACTACCATTGCCGCGGAGAGTGCTGACTGAAATAGAGTAATTACATTAATTAGTTTTAAACCGCATGAGAAAAACTTCAAACACTAAAAAAGCAAGCGGTACAGCAAAGGGAACACAATATTCAGATTAGTAAACCAGGCCTCCAAGATGAACTTACAGAATGGAAATAAAGCCAAATAATTCACATGAAAAATTGATGAATTATAAAAAAGAAAATCTTTGCTTTTTCATCACTTTTTCCAAACTCCTCTCTTTAAAGGTAATAAAAAAAATATAAAAGGTTAGGGAAAAAATAATAAAGAAGAGGGCTAAAATACCTCTAATCATTAATGTTTCTTCACTTTGTCCTTGCATTACAAGCATTTGAAATTCAAAGAAATTTCCATCTTAAACACATAAATAGATTGTTTAATAAGCACCAAACTTGCACAGTTCAGTTATTCAAATTTAAAAGATGGCTTGCAGGAATTGTGAAGGAATAAACCATATCACAGAGTGCGAAGTATAATATCTTCATACCTGCCAAAGATTTGGGCACTCAAGAGGAAGACCTGGAAAATGAAGATGAATATGAGATTTACGAAGATGAACTTACTTGAAGTGAAGATGAAACTTACCGACAGTCATGCAAAGTTCTCCCAACATTGAGTCGGGGTTTGAAGAGGGGACTTGTGTAAGTCCGGACAAAATTAGTAAATCCGCATTTTTAAGAGCGTTTTGATCCATGGGCCTAAAATAAAGGTAAAAAATTTGCTGTTACATGAAGCATAAAAGAATTAAATAATTATTACTTTAGTGATAATAAAATTAATTAATTAATTTAAATAATTTATTAAGGCTTTTGTTTTTTCTGCTCTGTCAACTCTTTATTCTCAGGAAACTTAAATTAATATTATGGTTTTCACAAAAATTTTATTTTCTGTAGTCTAAAACTTCAATGAGCGGGTCACTTTTATGTAGGTAGAAGCTATATTTTATGAAGTTTTCATCTGTTATGGTAAACTATTATAGCTTGTTATTCAATTTATAATTTATCTTTATAGTGAAAATGTAGTGTTTTAAATTAAACTAAATAATGTTCAAAATTTTACATTTATTTTTAATTTCTATAATTTTTTTGAAAAAAATTTTGTTGTTAAAGCTCGGCAACACGCTACATGCCATTGCCAAATTTTAACGTTTACATGTTGAAAAATATACATTTTCTTTAAATAAGAGGGATAAAGATTTAGAAACACAAGAGTCATGTCTTCAATACGGCATGTTGTCACTTTCCACAGGTTTTTTTTTTAAAAAAAATAAAACACAGTGAACTTTACTTAGTGCTTCGAAGCTGCACCAGTGATGTCTGGTGATTTACTTTAATTTTCAATCTTTCAAGCAGTGCCATGGTGGCAGTTACATTGCACTTTTTAACATAATGACAATGCTGTGACAAGGAAGAACCAGATGAAATGGACTTACCTTGGATGAGTTGTCAAAGTCGAAGAGCCACTGACATAAGCTACTTTTTCATGATCAAGATTGATGACCCAATTACTGCTACCTAGACAGTAGCCAGAACTAACAGCAGTTACTTTCAAAGCCCCATACACATCCTGGAAATAAAAATATGTGGTTGCGAAATTTCACTGGAATAACAAACCAATGGGGACGATGATAAACTTGCTGTACAAAAATGGAAACATGTTTGACGTAGTTATTTGATTTCTTATTTTTAATCATGATGACGATAACTAAACATGAGAATGAAATAAGAATCAAGAAACATTAGTGTGGCACTTTCAAAGTACCACTTACAGGTGAAAAGTAAATGCAAGACCATTTCCCTACTTGCAATCCTTAGTTTGCAGCAAATGGGAGGAAATCTCTGGAGTGTGAGGAAATATGAACCTTTGAGAGAGGACCATTTCTCATCTAAGAGATATTAAAAATTTACCACTCTCTCTTCAGATTAATCAAGTATTCTTAAATCTTTGGCGTCTATGATACAGCTTTCCCTTTCCAAATTAGGAAATAGAGGATCGTACTAATCCTCAACTTTAGGTCAATAAATGATCTATATAATGGACCACTAGATAAGGTACGAATTTCATCATTCTGATACATGTTTCTTAACTAAAATTTCACGTAGAATACAACGCGCACAACAAAAATTACCGAAATCAACTTCTTCCAAAGATATTTAATGATTCTTGATGCGTGAATTCAAACCACCCGCTCATGAAAACTCAATGCTCTGCGTGATTCAAATAGTGCGCTAAACGTTATCATAACAGTCTCTGCGATAGAAAAATCTGGCAACCTCAATCTTGACGCTTTGGCTCAGCTGTAGCAAATTGCTTATAGTTTGAACAACACATGGTAAGAAGTGAACATCACTCGATTGAGAAGCTCGTTGAAACCATTGTAGTGCGCGATTTGACTCTTGTAGACCTTTGAGTTCTTGTGAGCGGGCAGTTTAAATTCCTTGTAACCGATGTGAAATAAAAACGTTAATATCTTCGTTTGGAGTTTGTTTCATTAGTTTTCGTTGCGGGAATCGTGCTCTACGTGAAATTTTGGTTAAGAAACATGTATCAGAATGCTTAAATTCGTACCTTGTCTAGTGGTCCATTGCAATGAGGTGCTTGGTTTATCATAAAAAAACTGATAGAGCTGATTAATGACAAAGCTCATTTCGTCACCTTCCAGGCAAAGTATCACAAGCGCCATGCGACGTTTAACAATTTCCGCCGCCATTTCATTTTTTTACAGAGAAATTGTTCAACGAAGCTGTCCAAAAATTTCACTGAATTTTCTTTGTGCTGCCGATAAAATTTAGTGAAATTTCCAAACAGATTCAACCAACAATTTCTCAGTAAAGAAATAAAATGGCAGCGGAAATTTTTAAACGTCGCATGGCACTTGTGATACTTTGCCTGGAAGGTGACGATTTGAGTTACATCCATATTTTAAAGTTAAATAGAGAGGAGATTGTACCAGTTTTTCATTATAACCAACAGTTTGAATCCGAGCCAAACTGCTTGATAGAGTAGTGAGATTGTACAGCTGTTTCCAGCAACGGGGTTTGAAACTTTCCGAGAGAGGAGGAGGGAGTAAATGTAGCAATTCTTTCCATCGGCTTGCAAGGGCTGCTTTTGGCGTTTGTTCTAAGTATTGTACAAGCTCCTCTAGATAAAATCTAGAATAAATACAAAAAAACGTATAATTTAAATGAGCGACGATGGGATAGTATACAATGGCATTCAATCAGGAAAAAAAGCAGGAAAGAGGAATAACGACTGGAAGGAATTAAGAAAATTTTTGATCACAAGATTGTGCTTTACAGGGTGGAGCATAAATATCATCCACATTCACCTGATGTTCCAAAAATTTCATAAGTTTACAGTTTTTAGAACAAGAGTGATGGCATTTTTCTATTTTGTCATAATTCCTAAATTCAGGGAAGCTGAAGATGGATTCTTCCTTTATTTTTAGATTTCTATCACCTTTGCTCCGTGTTTAAATAGTTCAATGAAATTTATTTTATGAAACTTAAGAATTTCGTTGAGTTGGAGAAGTAACACTTCCATTTATATTATTAACATTTGGCAAGGACTTCTGTTTAGGGAAGTTGGAATAAAAACAAAGCAAGTCTCACTTTCCAATCTGCAGAGTTGGTTCTGTTGCGTAGACAATCCCATGAAAACCAGTTCCCTCTGTTATGTATGGAAGTGCCAGCATTGCAGTGTAGTTTGAAATCAAAATAACATCAATTTCAGAATAGTCGATCAACTTTCCTAGAGGAGGACAGAACTCCGGAGCAGAGTCAACAAACACTCTCCCATGACATTCTTTCAATTCCTGAAGAAATAATTGAAAAATTGAAGTTAGACAATTTAAAAAGGATCACAATTTTTCATCTGCCTTTGACTAGTAGCCATTTTGCAATAGTTGCAGTTTATAATGAAATTTCTCCTCCATTGCACCCTTATCAAATATTTACTGAGAGGAGTGGGCAACTGTGATTTGCACATCTAATGCTTTCAAGTTTTTTTAACTAGTTTTTTTAACTAGTTTTTTTTTTAGGCATTTACCTATATACTTAAGATGATTTCACTTCTTTCATGGGGAAACTTACCTCTCAAATATAAATGCGTTTGATGACATAAACCTTTCAGAAAATAACTATTTATTCATCCAAACCACAGAGGATCACGTTGAACGGCATTACTTTCTTATCCTGATCCACTGCCGTGATCCAGTCTGATTCATGTATTCCCGGAGAACGCTTGAATCGCTCTCCCAAGATGGTCGTCAGGTTGTTAGGGGCAATCTTAACCTCAAGCTTTTCAAACCAAAAGACAAAAGCTCTAAAGCACTTAAACTAGTCAATATTTAAGTATGAGAACTGGTGGTTCAAATTCTTCTTTTCCTTGTAGGACAGTATTACTTGCTTAGGTATCCTATTATGTGATCAAAAACAGCAATAAATTTTAAAATATTGCATGAATTTGACTTTGGAGGGAAATGAGTAAGTATGCACTGATTGAAAGAGAGATAGATGGTTTGAAAATCTTACCCCTTCTAGTTGAGGATCGTTACAATCGCGTGGCAGCCAATTAGAGAGACTTCCTAGACGCGGGCTTGGCACAAGCGGAAGTGGCAGGAAATTGAGAATACTTTGAGCTGACAAGCCGCAGTCTAACATGATTGTCATTTCCTTCATTTTCAAGACATAACATGGCTTGTTTGAATGGCTGCTCAAGCAATACTGTGCAGTTGACAGAAAAAAACATAAAAGTGTAGTTGGCGTTAAAAAGCAATGCTTATGCTATGGAAAGTTCAACTAAAGTTGTGTAGTTGCTGAAAATTATAGATAATATATGTATTAAAAAGTTGTGGTGGATTCCATGCCAAATAAGTTTAAGCACTTCTAGACTGCGACAGAAGATCGTCTGACTTCACTTCTGCATGCAGAGTAAATGGAAGAATCAAGATGGCAGATCTTTTGTCCCCATCTAAAAGTGTGTCAACTCATTTGGCATGGACTCTAAGGTCATTTCTCCGGTGCAAATTAGAGACACCATCAATAGATTGCAAAAGGTCTGCATGCATTGATTACATTGACATAATTTGTTATTTTCTTTCTTCTGATAATTTTCTTGGGTTTCACTCCGACTGAGGAGCCTCCAGTCATCTATTGACAGATTAGTAAACTTTCAGGTACATTTCGCATTGGATGGTTATTAGGTAGTCTCAGAGATAGAGAGTATTTGATGGGATAGTTCTAAAATACTAGCGCCATTTTCACATCCCGAGACCTTTCCTGAATCAAAGCTTGACTAAATCATGGAAAACTTAAAAAAGGTAACCAGTTATTCCCAGAGGAAATTTTACCCCAGGGATCTAACCTTTACTTGACTGCTGAAAGGTTTTTGCCGATGGAGAAACTAATGGGAGGTTTCATTTACTATCCAAAGCTGGTACAGACAGCTGTTCGGCACAACAGAGCACCGTAACCATAGAATAAATAGACTATGTCAATAGAGGCGAAAACCTCCGTCATTTTTATGTCATCGAAGCGAAACTGAGCCAATAGGTACTGTTGGTGTCTGCGGCATGTCGACATTCTGAAGAAGCTGAATAATAGCGGATACAGACGTTTTTAGGAATTAAACGCGATTTTTTACACTTATTTACCGTGAATCCAGAGGAGTACTGTAAAGTTGCCTAAAGTTTTATGTTTTGTTCCAATTTTAAAATCGTAGGTTAGCCTCAAATCAGGTTTCAATAGGTACGAAGATTGACTGACTCTGGGAAGAAAAATTTTAACATTGGTTCTTACGGAGCTTTTGCTTCTGTTGACATAGTCTATTTATTCTATGACGAAAAACAACTTAGCAGTTTACAGGCATTCCGACTATATTCTTCAAGTATAATTGGGTAGGTTGTCAAGAAAATCAAACAAACCACAATGATTGCATATAATAGCGGGCACTTACAAGCTTCATGGTTCTTAAAGCTGCAACTTCTTCAGATGTAATAATTCAAATTGCAGAAACAGCTGAGTACATCAGAGGTTGAAAAATCTGCAGCTCAACCTCAGTGGGCACATATTTGTGCCCGAACAGGAATACTATCTTCTGACAGACCTTTGATGAAGCACCGAGACAAAGTGTTTTATAGACATAATGTTACTCAAAACCTTTAGCAAACTTGAAAAACAAAAGAAGCTCAAGAAATATTGTCAACGAATACTTGGAAACTTTGTTATCACAGATTTAACGTTTAACAGGAGGAATGCGGGAAACATGTGGATGCCGGCAGCTTTCTGCAGCTTTTAGAAACTTTGAAATGCTTTAACTTAACCTCTCAACTCAACTCAACCTTGTTTGTAAACAACATACAACATACGACGTTGTCATATTTTAGTTCAGGCTCTGATTCGTCTTCTTGTTCTCAACTTTACGCCGGTTCAAATGGAAAATTTTTTCACAAATTAAAATTTTATGATTGATTAATTAAATAGAGTTCAATGGACTTCATATCTTACCCGGTGCACTGAAAATTTTGAATTTTTTTTAACATACACTTAGGCAACCTTGTCGTAAAAGTTGAGGTTAGTTAATTTTACTTTCAATTTCAACATTTCAACTTTCGAGGTATCATGCAACTTGTCTCTGTCCTTACCCCTTTTCATTGATTTCAATTAATTACAGTAAAGTTTTTAAAATTTCCTGTGTTAAGACGATAGTCGAGTAATAAAGTGATATATTTCCTTATCTTTCTGTATTACTTATCGACAATACATTCAATAACACATTCCCCTCTTCCGACAATTTAATGAATTCTCTTCTTAGATCCCTCAGTAAGTACTATCAAATATATGCTTTTAATCTTAGTTTTTTCATTTGCAGAAGTACCATTTTCTCCCGATTTCTAATTTTCAAAAGAACATTACATGCGCTTCCATATTTAAGCGCTTGGGTTTTGTCTTTGGAGCATTTTTCACCGTATGACATCAGATCCTTTTCTTCCTCCTGAGAATCTTATTGAGCGCATAGTGCTGCTGGTAAGGGCTTATTTGCTCTAAGTACTTTGCAAGAAGCCTCACTAGGTTTTTAATACCCGCCAACATGATATAGATTAGTGTGTAAGAGGCCGCAGCGTTTCAAAGGGTAATATGTGATCAATAATTGTGTCATCACAATGTGCGCAATTAAATCTTACACAATTTCTCCTATGTTGGTCTTGCGTTTTTCGCCAATTTCACCTCTTGTTTGCCCCAATTTATCTGTGAGCCCGTTGAAGCCCTTAGATGTGTTTTATTGGGGCTGTGTCCGTCACGTTTTGAATCTTAGTTAAGGGTCAAAGATTTCTAGTATAGAACTGGGGAAAGAATAGAATAGACAAAAGTTACATCAATCTGAATGCATCAATCATCAGTTGGTATGTAAATATCCATTGAATGGTGCAATTTTTGGACGTGACATTTGTCTATTCTTTTCTTTCCCCAGTTCTAAGTAACTGGCAGAGGCTGTTTAAAATGGTATACCACTGGGCGCAGAATGGATGGGGTTGCAGAATAAATCAGTTGACCGGCCAGATAAGTGCCGAGTAAACTGCTATCAAATTCTCTGAAGCAAACTTTGCTCAGAGAATTTTGTTGTAGAAAATCAGTCAATTTTCTGGCCAGGCTAACTGTTTGTGACTTGATACTTCTTGAGAGAGGGAGGGCTGTTCTTTCAATTTCAAGCCATCTGGCCTCCAAAATATTTTGTTTTTTCCCCCTTACTTTCTAGCCCTTTCATTTCAATGCTTGCGTTTTTTTTTCTATTTTTCCAAAGACCATAGCCAATTTTGTATTCAAAGAAAATGAGAATATTCTATTTCTATTTTTGAACTTGATTGATCAGCTATATCTGTAAGATGTTCTTTTTTTTCGGTCCTTTTAGCTTTTTTTAATTATGTTGGAACCAGACAATAATTTTTTTACAACTTTTTATTCCAGCTATCAATACATGTGGAAATTTTCATACATTGCTTTCCCGCAGTCTGAGCAGAACAGCCCCAAACATGATTGAATCATCAGAAACCTCATTGCCGTTTGACTATGATGGAGCACCTATTGAATCTTCGATACGAAAAAAATTGACTGAGAGCCTGTCCCCAATGCACTTGGAGATCGTCAATGAGTCGTACATGCACAACACACCTGACTCTGAAACTCATTTCAAACTTTTAATTATTTCCACAGCCTTCCTGAATAAATCACCAATTCAGAGACACAGAATGGTGTATGAACTGTTAGATGAAGAATTGAAAAAAGGTGTTCATGCTTTGTCTATTGTTGTGAGTATTTTTCATGATTTTACTTTTACTTTACTCTAACATGTATGTGTGCTTGCCTATTTTTAATAGTCAATGCTCTGAAGTTTACAGAGACTAGGTACAGTCGGTTAAGGAAACTAAACAGAGGTAGCCTAGGGCTCAGTTCATGGAACTAATCAGAAGTGATTATTGATACAGAGGAAATAATAAATCATCTGTCATAGTTCAGTAGTCAGATTCTGGTTACTTCTGTGTCTTTCCAATTCATTATCATATTCTCTCTCTTGTTCTCACATTACATGTTTCTCCATCACAAAACAATGCAATACTTTTTTGTTTTTGAGCCATTCTTAAATCACCTAAAATTAGAAAATAAAATTGGCATATTCCACCCAAAAACTCTCTTACAATGTAAATCAGGGTGTCCGCCAACCAGTGATTCCTTTAATGGGTTTATTTTTTCTCTCATTTCAGGCCAAAACTCCTGATCAGTGGCAGGAAGGGAAGCGAGACATATCTCCTAGTCCAAAATGTCGTGGTGGCTTTGGCAAATAAGATGGTCATCCTATAGTTGATTCAGGAACTCTCCTCTGATGAGAGATATCTTTTCATTGTTTTCTTTCAAACCCTTTCGCTTTATTATCTGTTTCAAGTGATTTCTCTAAGAAGTGTAAATTATGTAAAATATCTTGTAAATTCTTGTTGTTTATTGTTCTTATTAAAATTGTTCAATGTGAAACTGTTACTTTTTCCTATCCTGACACTGTTAATTTTAGGTAAATGCAGATTGATTCCGATTTTGACTGTAGAATAAACATATTTTGATACCTAATTGAATTACCCAAGAAGTTTCACGATTCTGAGACACTTTTTTATGCTTCTTTTTACTTATTTAAAAATAAAAAAATAAAAATAAAATAAATAAAAAGAAATAAAATAATTGCTATGGTTAGAGTACCGCTATGGTCAAGAGCGTCAGCTCTATTTTTAGCAATGTACATTTACTACATTTTCACCAATTCAAGAAATCAGACAAAATTTTCAGAAAAATAAAATTAAAATCGTTCTCTGGTCAGGGATTTACTCATACAGTTTTCTCTGTAAAAATTATTGTCAGCAATCATCTCGCAACTTACCCTACCCTGATAAGATCTGATTCTCCATCTTTAAAATTAGGTAATGCTAAAAGAAATGGAAGTGCACAGTTAGTTTGCACCAATTTTTTAACTTCGACGGTAAAAATGTTGGCATGGTACTTAAATAAATAATTACATAGTATCTCAAGCCAAGACTGCCAAGATCTGATGTTCGGCCGGACATCATGAAGAAATCCAGCTTTTCACCGGATATCCGGTAAAATTCTGTGTCGGGAACAGCCAGCAGTATGTACCCGGATAGCGAAATTTTCAGCTGATCGTGAATCAATTGTTAAACTGATACTTAAAGGCTGAGTATGCGCTTTACTTTGTTGTTCTGAATAATAATTATTAATCGTTATTTTACACTTCGCCGGCATTAAGTCCGAGAGCGATTATTCAAATTGGGCGGGTTTTCAGAGCATGACGTCAAATTACGTCATCTTGAAGAAGAAGAAGAATGAAAACAATAACCAAACTTTTACGTTTTACCGCGACTTGCGAACATGCTTCATGCTGCCGCACTGTCTCGGCATTTCAACCTCGAGAAATAATATTGTGGATTTGGTTTGTTAGTTTCACCTTTGCGTACGCGTCCCTTCTAGCTACTTGTAAGTTTATATTTATGCTCGTTCTCGTTTTTTATTCTATTCGGTTGAAGTATCAAATCTCCTATACTTAAAACATTCCAAGCTGAACGCTGACTAGTCTGCCCGAGACTGACCGGAAACCTAGTTTTCACTGCTTTGTATTGATTCTCCCTCTAATTTCTCTCCCCAAACCTTGCTTTCGTTTTCATTTATATTTGCCATAAGCAGGAATTTTTCTCTAACACAAGTAATCCTGGGAATGTCCTGTTGTGACTACGCAATCTGATTCGGTCACTCCCATTGTTAGGATCATGTCAGCAGGTTATCATGGAAAATCTAGCCATTTCATGTAAAGTCTCTGGTACTTTAATGTTGCATGTTGATGCATTGATCAAATTTCATGAACCGAGGAATCCAGTATTTCCCACTTTCGACTCCATTGTATGCCCTCTTTACTCTTATCAAAACCTCATTTCGAAAAGCACTCCTTTAAGCAGTGGTATACTCACATCTTCATTTTGAGTTCAGTGATACTGAAGTCTTTTTTCTCTCGGTTGTTCACTAGAATGTACTTAATTTTCAAAAAGTTGGGCATTCTTATATTTATGTGTATCTGTCTATGAATGGTGAAACTCCCAAACCATGTTTATATCCAGACGTCAGGTTTTTAATATGATAAAGAAAATACCCAGCAAATGAAAGATTTTGGCTAAGTATGTTGTAGGTAGTATTCGGATCCTTTGCAGCCATAAGTTCGTGTCTTGCCTCTAAAAATTGTAGCATCTTTGATTTTTTAATTCTTCTCTCAATTTTATTACTCTTTAGTGTGCTGATGCGGTACTTATCTTGAACCTAGTGTCAAGCCTGCAGAAAGATGAGTGGTCACGGCTTCTGTCCAGATCGAACCAGCGATGTGAATGTTCCAATGGATACCACTTTTGCTGAAATGCACCTCATTAATGAAAAGATCAGAGAAGGCCTCCGAACAGCGAATTTCATCATACCCTCCCCAGTACAAAGAAAAGCTATTCCCCGTACTTTGTGTGGCTATGGTAAGTTTCTTCTCTTCCTCTCTCCATCTTATTGTTGTCATTTTGCCTGGAAGGTTTTTTTGGCCAATGAATGGGATTAAAAATTGATTTTTAAGGTATCTGAAGATGGGCATCAGTTTATGAAAACCTCCCCATCATTCTCAATTTACCTAGATTGGACGATTTAATGATCAGCTCTAATCAATCAATTTCCATTGAAAGCACTCTTAGCTCATTATTTCATTATTTTTTTTTTCTTTGAGTCAGTATATGAGGCATGCTTCAGAAAAAACAGTTGGGCCAACAGAATGGTGAAAGGATATGAAAATCTCAAAAATGGTTAAAAGTCGGAAATAACCCTGTAACTCCAGTGGAAGATCAGTGGCTCTCAGTACATTTCGATGAGACTTTAGCAGATCAAAATTAGGGTTTTTTTTTTTTATCTGTGGAACTCAATAGATGGGGATCATTGTGGTTCGGGCCGGTTCAACGGGCCTCGAGTAAGGTTAGGGCGGCTACCCGCAGCCTCAACCTACCTCGGTAGAGCGGTCCAAGCGTTTCACTGGAACACATGGAATGCGCCAGTGGAACGGGATAAAAAAGTGATGCGTTTCCTAGCAATCCTCTGTGGTTCGGATAAAAAAAAAGCCCTATTGAGTTCATCTTAGACCCAAAGCCAAAAAATCAGGGGTTGAAGCTGAGATATGTGTTTGAAATCATTACTTTCTGTGCTCTCAAAGAGGCACAGAAATTGTTTCGAACTGCCTTTCCTTTTCACGGTACTTGAACCCCTGTACCTTTACTTAATCCTTTACGTAAAATCCCCGCATTCTGTGTTAGTGTGGCCATTCATTGCTCTCTTTCAAGCAAAAATTTCGATCAGACAGGGAGAGGTGAGGAGCCAGAAGGCTGTATCAGGAATTATGGCACAGAAAAATTTACGAAATCAAGCAATTTGTGCTTATTTGAAGATAAGGAACCCGGCCAGGTCATATCTGAAATTGTGTTGAGTTGTTGAAACAGATTTGGCCAATGAGGGGAAAGTCCAATGTGTATACCAGTCTAGCACATGCATTTTTGACAAAACTTTTGTGCGTGTATTAAACAATAAGGTGGTAGGATAATCATTCTTCTTGGGCTGTGCAGTGGTACAATAGGAAATAGTGTATGTTTTCATTTGCGAATATCCCATGTGTATCCTGGAAAATTTGCTCCATGTTTTGGCTTCAGGTGTATGATGAATTTTATATTAACCCATTAAAGTTTCTTAAAAATACACTAAGACTCACTGATCCCCCACTGTTGTTGCAGAGTTCTTTGTTACTCAGTGCCTAAAAAAAAAATCAAGAAAAAATCGAGGAGATAGAATGAAAAATTAGTGGTTTTTCATGTCAGCAAATTCTATCGGGAGGCTGCTAATCAGCTTTTTTCCCCTAAGAAAACCAGCCAAATCCCAAGAATTTTAAATCTAAATCACATCCAGTGCTACTATGAGGCATCAGGTTTTCAATAATTAATATGTAATGCCATTAGAATTTATGCCTGAAAAATTTCTACCTTTTTTTGCCCCTCAAGTCAACCAAACGTTAGTGGAAAATCTAGTTTGCTGAAGCAAAAGAAGAAAGTTTGACAACTCCCTTCATCTGTTTCTTATTGCTTGACGGTTTCAAATTACTGTCCAGGCCCTGGGTTGGCTTGACTCATGTCACGGAGAACAAAATTCCTCTTCCATGGGTCAGATTACGCCACTCAGGTCAAGCGTCTTCAACCATCTGCATATTTGTTAATAAGAAACTGCTGTCCATTCCATTGCAGCACAAACTGATGAGTTGTGTATTCCTAGTGTGTAGAAACTTCTTAACCACTCAATTGTTGGATCAATAATGGAAAGGCCCAGAAGATGTGTTACAGAAATAGGAAGGCCAACTCGCATCAATGTGGAAATGATGTGATTCTTGCAAAATCATGACATTTTGTGAATATAGAGAGGAAAAAAGGTCATTAAGTTGAAAATTTTGGGGGTAACAGGGTTTTTAAAATGAGAGAGCAGATATATTCAAGAGAGCAAAAAAATTTACTTTTTCAATTTCGTTACTGTTTATCATTAATTTTGTTTTTATGTTTTCCAGATACGATTTTCAAGGCAAAATCTGGAACTGGAAAAACTGCTGTTTTTGCAATCACAGCATTGCAGTCAATTTTAGAATTGGAAACAAATCAGCCTCAAGTTTTAATCCTCGCACCTACTAGAGAGATTGCTGTCCAAATTGTTGGTGTGATTCGAACCATTGGAGCTTCCATTGCTGGTAAAATCATTAAAATTTCTCATGATCTGTCCGTTACAAGTGAAAAAAGGGGGAAAAGTTGCAGAATCAAGGATGAAAATGGATCTGGGAAAAAATGCAGGACGTTTCAATATCTTATGACATCATTATGAACTGCTAAAAGAAAAATAAATTATAACTAAACTAAAAAATATGTACAAAATCTCGGCAATTACATAATGATAATAATGATTAATTTGTAAGGAAGTCTGTTTCTTGCTTTGAAGAGATATAGGCAACTGAAACCATATTTTTTTTCCGGGCGTAAACGCTCAAAAACCTGGTTTAGCACATCAAAATTGTACACCATCCACTCCGCACTGCAAAATTGTGTAGTTCGAACCACGCTCTTTCGAATTTCCACAATGACCAAGAAAAAGTATCAAAAATGCAGGGAATTGTGAGGAAGTATGATATGGTGTAAAGAAAATTTTGCATTAAGGAGTGGCTTTTAAATATTTCTGATGTACTCCAAGTGGTTTTCGAGCGATTTTACGGGCAATAGAGAACTCATTTTTTTTTATCTTATATGTGAAACAGAATCTTTGTTTTTTGTTTTTTTTTTCACTTTTTACTCAATTAGTATAACATTACACAAGTAGGTAACAACCTGTGTTCACCTGAAGCCTCTAACAAGTAGATAATTTAGATGAAAATGCCCATCCATGAGAAAAGGGCCATAAAGTTCATATATGCTAAGTTCATAGAAACAACATTTTTATCAGTGTGGTTTGTGGAAAGCTTGATAAAAAAAAATCTGATCATAAGTTTTTGACAAAAAATTCTCATTAGTGTCCTTACGATTAAATTTTGAGTACCTAGTTTAGTTTCAGTCGAATAAAAATTGGCAAGTTTAGAATTTAACTATGATAGATCAGAAGGTAGAAACGCTTTCTGAGCACTAAAGTACCTATGTCTTTTGATCTGTGAATTTCAAATTGCCTGTCTCTAACGCAAGGGGGTATGTAAATTTCTATGTGAGCCCCAGAAAGCATGAAGTTATAACAGGGCTTATTTCAAAATAGAGATGCGCCATTGCGCCCCTCTGTCGAAGGAGTAACTGTTTGAGCAGTTTCTGTCCCAAAATGTTTGTAAAGCACTCCTTTATGCTTCAATATCAGTCATTCAATTTCAAATTATTGTGGTTTGAGTTCTCCAAATACCTTGGACGACCACAAAAATATAATTCATTTTATAATACAAGTTCCATATCTAAATTTTTCTCAACTTTACTTTGATTATCGCCCAAACCTTTAATGTTACAATACTCCCAATTTCCTAAAATTTGTTTGGCATATCATAATTATTTGGTATCACATTTATATGGTAAACCAATTTTAAACTTTGTTTAGGTCTCAAGATTGAGTATTTCATCGGAGGAACAAATCTTCAGGATGATGTAGAAAAATTGAAAAACTGCAGAATAGTTGTTGGTGCTCCTGGTCGTATTGCACACTTGATTGAGCTCGAATACCTGAACACTAAATCTATCCGTCTTTTTATTGTAGACGAAGCGGACCAATTGCTTCAATCATCTTTTCACAAAGATTTCAAGTAAGTATTTCTCATTCCTGGTTAATTTATAAGACAGACTTTAATTAGTCAACAATGAAGTGATTTCGTATAAAAGAAAAGACCTACCTAATAGGCCCACATACTTGGTTAGTGCCTAATTTGGGAGTCACTGACGTGTTGTTGAGCGATGAACCATAGAGTCACTTTGAACAGCAGTTACTCAATTAAATCGGCTGGGGTTAGCATTGTTGCCTTGCTGAAGGCCAAATTCAATTTTTTCATAAGAGTTCAAGTAGGATAGTGAACATATTTATGCAACCCTGACAACTGTGACTTGCCTTGTTTGGATTTTTTAAATTCTGGATGTGCACGTGAATATTGTAGGTTATGTGTAGTGTGTTATTTTTAACCCAAGTAATGAATTTGTAATCATGGCTGATGAGGTGGAGGAAATCATTGTGGTTCCCATCGTCGCCTTTACCTCTTACTGTTTTTATAATCTCGGAAGGCGGAGAAGGAGGCCTTTTTTTATACCCCTATTTTTGGTCACAAGAATTTTTTGTGTTGTGATTTTCTTGTAATGAGCCAATAGGAAATTTTAGGGTCTTTATAAAAGGTACCATGCCATTTTCCTCGAAGATAGAAAGGTTTAAATGGAAATGAGGAAAAAGGTCGCTGATCTTAAGAATTTTAGCTGCGGCTTTTTATAAACCCATATTTTTGGTCACAAGAATTTTTTGTTTTGTATTTTTTTTTAAATGATTTGAACGGATGGGAAATTTTACGGTCTTTATAAGCCCATATTTTTTGTCACAAGAATTTTTTGTTTTGTGATTTTTTGGAATGAACGGATAGGAAATTTTACGGTCTTTAAAAAAGTTCCCATGCCACTTTTCTCTAAGATTGAAAGGTTTAAAGGAAAATAAGGAAAAAGGTGTCTGATTGTAAGAATTTTAGCCGCTGCTTTTTATAAACCCATTTTTTTGGTCACAAGAAATTTTTGTCTTGTAATTTTTTTTGTAATGAAACGATACTATTAATAGGTTCTTTTTAATATCAATAAACGACATTTTGATAATTTAAAATTACTTCTTGTTTCAAAACTCCAAAGTCATCAATTAATTCATTATAAATTAACTGTCCTACCAGGTGGAAACCTCTAAAGAATGGTGATCGTTGATTCAGAATTTCATCGATGAGCCTTAATAATCATCGGCCTGACGAATACTAAGGTTCATCGCTCAACAATGCATCAGTGACTTCCTAATTAAGCCAATATTAAGGTCCACACTAACTGTGTATGTAGGTGTAATGAAGCAAAAATTGTTTATAAAACTATCGAGTTAACTTTTCCAGGCACACATTACTACTTATGGTATTACCAAGATCCCTTAAATGAAACAGTAGTCTTCCAAAGAAATTTTCAATTTTTAAAACACAAAAGAAAGCTTAATACTGTTGGTAACAGGAAAAACAACACAGCTTTTGCAAGTCTCAAGCCCTATAAAATGACGAAAGTTTCTATTTTATAAATCGGGATTTTTGTGTCCCTACTTTTAATCCAAGTTTTACCCAATTTTAATTTGCAAGTATGTTTTGTAGGAAGATCTTGCAAAGTTTGAAATTCTGAGATAAATCTTTAGAACTCTGCAAGTCTCTGCAACAAAAAATACCAATGCAAGGCAGAAGATGAAATGCAGATTTTGTCCGCTTAATAGCTTGGAAGATGAATAAGGTATCTTTTTAGCGTAAGTAAATAAATTAAACTAAAAAAAGTATCTAGGTTCATGGAATACTCTTTTCACTAACAAAATTTAATACAAGCTAAATTAGGACAAAATGTTGCATGATTCTGCTACTTACATACCAAAAATTACAAGTAGGTGTTTCTAATTCTTATTTCATCCCAAAACTTAAATCTATCTGTTACTTGTCTAGATAAAAGAATATAAAATTTTACTTCTTCTTTTTCCAGTTTTATTTTTAACAGTCTGCCAGAAAGCAAGCAAGCTTTAATCTGCAGTGCAACTTTCACACTTGAACAAATCAACTTCCTTCACAAGTACATGACAACATTCTCATTTGTTTCTGGTGATGAGGAGGATGATTGCGCGGATCAAAATATATCTTTCACATCCCTAGTCGGAGTGAAACAGTTTGTTTCAACAATTCCGGAAGGATTTACCTACAGCTCTGTAGCTTTGTTCGTAACCAAATTGGGTCGACTGTTGGATCTTTTGAAGACAACCACATTTTCGCAGTGCTTAGTTTTCACAAATTATATCACTAGGTGAGTAATCTTTCGTCAGTTTGTTGAAAATTTAGAATCTAAATTTTTTTACCCAAATTTAGTTTGTAACAGAATGAATTGGAAAACGTCTCAGTATGAAAATTCCCTAGTCCAGGGGGTTTTTAAGTCCGGAATTTCTGAAAAGTCTGGAAATAGTAATGATTTTTTAAGGGCGGTATGGAAGTACTGAAAAAGTGTGGAAATTCCGCAAGAAGGTCTGGAATTTTGTTCTTTTTTTGTCTTTTTTGTCGCAATTTGAATGAGGAATTCAAATTTTTGAAATATTTCGAATTTCTTCATTTAGAAATACTGAAAAAGTACTGAATTTTTCTGTTGAGGAGATACTGAATTTCTGGGGAATGTACTTAAAAAGCACTGTAAAAGTACTGATTTTTGGCCAGCCTGTTTTAGTAGACATCCTGCTATGTCTTGAAAAAGCATTCAAATTAGAGAGGTGACTATTATGATAAAAATACCTTATTGTGTAAAGTCTGACCATGATATGAATTTTAATGCCCTGTTCACGGAGGGAAAAACCCCGTTCCTGATGAAAATACTTTTCTTATTTAACAGGCTCTTTTTCCAGACGGATATTTAAAGACTGCTCAAAGTATGTTCATGATCTAAATTTTGATCTGCTGTTCGCAGGGTTAAAACTCTATCAAATAAATTAACGGAGGGAGGATTTCCGGCAAGCTTTTTATGTAGTGAACAGGAGCAAAGCGAGCGCATTCAAGCCCTTAAAAACTTGAAGGAAGGTGGATGTAGGGTGCTGGTCTGTACAGATCTTGCAGCCAGAGGTATTGATGCCCAAAATGTCAACTTGGTAATCAATTTTGAAGTTCCTATTGACCAGCAAACTTACCTCCATCGTATGGGGCGAGCTGGGCGCTATGGTTCCTTTGGTAAGTATTTATTTTCCTTCATCCACATAGTTCAGTGGAAATGAAAAAACATCATGAGGCCCTGACTTACTTCACAAAACATAATTTTAAAAGAAACACACCAATTGAGGGGCTAGGAGAACAAGGCACATGAGTGCAGTTTTTGCTATTTCGAGAGATATGTGCTGGACGTTTCGAAAATACACGGATCCTTAATGCAGAAAGATAGTTCAAACTGACTTTTTGATGCTTATAAAATGGAATTTGAGAGCAAATTTTTCGAAGAATATGCATTAAGATTAGTTTTACTTGAAATCATTTATATCTCAATTTTCTCAAAAACTGCACTTTTGCGCCATATCCTCTAAGTCGCAATTAAAGAATTGGAAACAAAAGGCGAAACTAAATTTATGAGAATCCTTTATATTTACCTTAAAAAAATCTAACCTCAGTTTTGAAGAATATCTCTTGGATCTTGGACTGTAATAGAAAACAACTTGACTTTTTCTCTTCTGTAGGTGATAATCGGATAGCTTCAGTATATTGAGAGTGAGGGAATAAAAAGATAAATAAGTGATCTTGGGCATTTTTGCCCTTTGAAGCTCACTTACTTTTTCAGAGAATACGATTTGAAAAAATTAGTGTCTAAGTACTCAGGCTCAAACAAAATGCTTGCTCCGTTTATGCCGAGCGCTGAGCATGTACCCTCAAGTTTTGCCTAAGCAAGCTGTATACTGTGAAGGGCTGTTGTGAAGGGTTGGCTGATGAGATTTGTTGAGTGTGGACACAGAAGCTTTTTCAGTCGCATTTTTCTTCTACCTTGGAGTGGAAAAATTCCAGGTACCATTTATTCAACTTTTCATTATCTGAAGCTTCCTCTACTAGTAAACATTATTTCTGTGGATATAACATAACGGTCATTGTTTGCCAAACGATCCAAGTGATGCAACCTACTGACACAGATTTCCTTGAAATTTTATTTTGGTGAAAAGAACTGTAAAATTATGAACCTATACAAATTTTATAGTCTCAGAATCCAAAACTTTCAAAATAGAAAATATTTTCATTTAGAACCCAAAACTTTCAAAATAGAAAATATTTTCATTTTTGCGTTTTTGGCCTTCAATTTATATATTTTTGTGAGAAATGCATTCATAGTCTTCAAAATTTCAGAGTTTAATCGTGAAGGTGCGTAGTTTAAGGAAAAAATGCCTCATGACCTTTACTACTTCATGAGACCATGAAATTGAGTCATCTTGTCAAATTTTGGCATGCAAATCCCATTTAGTGCTGAACAACGTAGGTCAAAAGGCGAGACAGGAACAAAACTTTTCCTCTCACAGAAAAACTTCCTAAGGTATACTCTAAAAGCCTGATAAATGAAACTAAAGGTTTATTGAGTGCTTCTACTTTTAATTTGGATTTATTTAAAAATAAAGGCTCGTCTGAATCAATCTGATGTGACATTTTTACATATTTTGCTGAAGTTAAATTAAGTGATCTAATTCGACTGTGAAGTGGAACAATTGAAATGAAGGTGATTTGTCCCGGTTTCTGGCGTGGTTGAATTGGCGCTATGGTATCAATTAAGTAAAAAATCTCCGAAGGTTTTGAATTTTTAGCCAAACAAAGGACTATAGCCCCTATGCATGGGCCTGAGAAATCATTTGAAACCAATAAATTGGCAAAAGTCAGAGAAATGAAAGCCGGATTCTTTTTGAAAAAAAAAAAAAGTTGCATTCATAACAGAAAAACTGCATAGAAATGCATCAATCATTATTTTTCCCCCTCTCTCATTTCTAGATAAAATTTGTTTATCTAAAATCTGCTCCGTTTGTTGTGAATTTTCGCTCAACTGAGTTCATTTTGCCGTGTGAATAATTTCATTTTCTGGAGTCCCACCATTCCCTGAGTAGGAGACTAGTAATATCAAAATATTTTTCATATCCCTGGAGTAAAATAAAGATCTGAACTTCATTATTCAATCACTATTTTACTGTATGTGCGTATGTATTTCCACGTTGTATCATTGTGCAAATCTCTCATTTGTCCTTAATTACTTCTTGAATTTTTTATTTTGTTTAATTGAGACTGAGCACCATCACGGCTCTAGAAAATTGGTAAAAACCTCTCTTGAGTTTTAAAAAATGACATTCTATTAAAACAAGTTTTATATGTAAGTTTAAGCCTGTAATCAAAAAGTACCAAGAATGTCTTTGATTGGATATTTCTCCTTCATGCTTTAAAAAAATTATTTTCTGTTCATAGGTATCGTTGTCACCCTAGCAGCAGAAGGCGATGAAATAAAAAAGTTGCAGATAATCCTCGGAGCAATCAAAGCCATTGTCTCGGTTCTTCCCACTGAGCCACCATTCATTGACGCTATGGATAAGAAGAAAATTAAAAACTTAGCTCTAAAAGAAATTTCAGGTTTAGCTCCAGAAAAACCTATAAGCGATTCTTCAATTACAGATTCTACTGCTTTTGTTGGTAATGTCCCTAATAATGGTTATTTTAGTGATAGATTTGAATCTAATTCTACTTTCAGTAGCGAGTCAAAAGAAAATATTTGTCCCCGGGCCTCTGCAAAGGATAAAAAGTCTTATACAGATCAATCTTATCTCCAAAGGCCTCTCCCAGCAGGATGTAATGTTGCTAACTATTCAAAAGCAAAAGGGAAGAAAAAAGAAAGTTGGACAAAAGCAGAATCCACTCAGGAAAGTCAAAATCAGAGGCCATCCTCCGCTTCCAGTCTGGTTCTCGATAGTACTTTTCTCGGAAAGATATACACAGTTGATAACAGAAAAGCAGGTAGTACAGTTGATTTTGTCAAAGATGTTGATTGTACAGTGATTAAATCAACCATTGAAAAAGATTTTGCAGTGATTGGGCGCAAATCTCGTGAGTTTTGCTCTAAGCTTCAGCCGCACCTGGTAGCTCTCAGTCTCTTAAACTCAAATTATTCATCCTTTTTATCCAATATACCGACAAATGAAAGCATGAAAAATTATTTTTTACTCTGTAAACACTTCAAGAATATGAATCAAAATATTGTGAATTTTGTGGAAAAACAGTTGAAAAATGAGGAAGTTAAAAGAGAAGATAATTTTTGGAAACCAAATCGCACCGCTGCCCCCAGATTGCCTGCAAATTTAATTAAAAGGAAGCCGGAATGGGCTCCGAAGCCTGACCCACCCAAACCTAAAAACAAGTATCTGTACCTGAGACAAGATTTCCTCAAGAGGCTGTATGGTGCCTCAAAAATAAACAAAGATTTTTGCATAGAAAACCTCAAAGCTAACATTGAACCAAGTTTTGCTCACATGTGGAAAGTAGGTAAATTGACAATGGCGAATATCTTAAAATTGAGTCAGCTAGATCTTTTGCAGCAACCCGTGAAGGGGCTTAACAGTCAAAGCGTTGAGCCCTATTTTCAGTTTTGTAGACATTTTATATTCCTCAACCCCGAATTGGTCACAACAGTCTCGAAGAAAATTCACAAGATTGAAGCAGGACTGACAGCAGAAGAAGCTGACAAAGAAAAGAAAACAAATGTTAATTTTGATGAAGTCAGAGAGTCTAAAGCTTTGAGTAAGACCGGAGTAGTTGAAGTGTCATCAGCACACAAGCATGAATTGCAGACTCTAACGAACCTCGATACAATTGAAGGAGCAAGAAAGAAAATTTTAGAAAAGCTCGCAGCAAACAGAGATTATATTTTGGATCTGAAACGTAAAGCTGGATCAAGCCTTTTTGTAGATCAGTCCTTTGATGATGTTACTTTATTGTCATACCTCAAACTGTGCCAGACATTTAAAAATTTTGATGTCGACTTCCTTACTCAGGTTCAACCTAAACTAGAAAAATCATCTCCTTCTGTAAATGTAATACCCAGCAACAATGAGAGCTCTATAGCCTGTACTTCAAGTGAAAAAACTTTGTCGGCCTCTTCAAATGATGAGAGAGTTAGCAATAATTCTTGTACATCAACCAATTTGCCCACTACTTGCTCAACGGCTTCAAAGAGTGAAGACTGCCATGAAAATCTCAGGTCTCTAAATTACGAAGAACTTAAGCAATACCCTCCTTGTAAAGCAGCAAGAAATGTGGCTTGTACAACTATAGATCCGAAATTATCATCAAGCCTTCAAAAAGCCATGAGTGACCTAGCAAGGTCAACTGAGAAGGACTGTGTTCAATTTATGACTGAAGGTAGTGTAGTTCCTGCTATTTTTAATTTGCTAAAAAGTTCTCACACATTAAGTCCTAAAGATGTCAAAAAATTCATAAAGAAGCATCCTGTTGTAACTGCAAATGCTACTTGCAATGAATCCAAGTTAGAAACCGATAGCTACCAGAAAGTATTACAGTCTCTTCACAATCTGAACGTACCTAAAAGTCCTGTGCCTTCAGTCGTCCCAGCGCAAGATCTCAGTGAAGAGAAAAAGAGTAGCATCAATGCGATCCTTCAATCACACATCGAAAATGAAAAATATGTCTCTTTCCCTAGTAGTGTAAAGCCGAAAGATGCTGTTAGTCTCCTGTACAAAAATGATGGTTTACCAGTAGTTATTCAGGCTAATCAGCCCATTAAAAGCAGTTGTACCAATTCGAGCCCTCAAGGAAAAATTGTCCCCAGTTGTGTGGGAGAGGGCACGCTAAATTTCCAATCACCAAGTACAGCAGTTGCTGGAGCCAGAAGCAAGCACCAAACTGAAACTATCCCTAGGGAGGAAAATAGCAATGGCAAGACTTCCTCGCCACAAAATGATGCAACAATGAGGAGAGTATCAAAGCGGATAGTTCCAGTTCAACCAGAAATGATGCTAGAATGTGAGTCATCAGACTGGGTTACTGCATCCTCTGCAAACTCTTCGAGTGACTCAGAAGAACGTGACTCAAACGCAACCATGAACCTTTGTGAAAACTGCAAAACTTATTATAAACCTGCAAAATCTAGTAAAAAAATCTTTAAAAAGAAAAAAGCTAAAAGAAGCTCTGAAAATCATTCCAACTTTAGTGTCCCTTCTGCAAACATGGATATTCCAGCTCCATCATATGACCAATTACTTCAATGGTACAACATGTGGTACCAACAAGTTATCTTTTCCCAGCAGTTTGTATGGTACAATGAGTACATACGCAATATGTCCTCTGAAAAGTAAACGCTGCTTGAGGAAGGAGTTCCACTGCTTGTCCAAAAGAAAATCGTCCAGTTTTTGTGTTTTCAGTATATACATGGCAACTTTTCATGTTCACACCAAAATGTAAGATTCTTGGCAGACATCCAAGCACCTATTTAAAGGATGAAATCTGAATGAGCAGAGAACAGGGGCTCAATTGTGATTGTTTCATTTTTCTGAATTTATCCTGGTTTAGCACACAAGAGGAGAAATACTGTTCTCCACTAGATTTATTCAGTTCAGTCTTGGTTCTTAAATTACCTCTAGAAGTGCCTTTGGAATATCAAAGTAGCTATTAAGTCTGCATTAGTCCTGGCGCCTTACCACCTATTACTACCACTACTGCCTAACGACTTACCAGGCGCCTGGACTGAATGTGTTTCTCGGTTCTCCCCTTCGAGTAAAGGGTCAAACGATTCCAAATAGGATTTAAATTATTAACTTTGGCTCAGTCATTCTTAACTTTTTTTATTTCAAAATTCTCTTGTCTTATGTCTGATGGCTATTCGTTTCTAATCAGAGTATTATCATACATGCTAAGTTTCAAGAAGTCAAAGTTGGAGGTATATTATCTTGGAACTGTGGAATGAAATTGGGGTAGCATTGAAGCTGATGTAATAAATGACTTTTTCAGGATAGAATCTTTAAACAGAAGAAAATGAAAAAGTTGAGTTTAAAGTGAAAAACAGTTTTACAGTCTTTAAAGTTGCAGTTTCTTCTATTGTATCTGAATTTGAGGTTTATTTTGATTTGAGGAGGATCTCACCAACTCAGATCGCTCTTTTGTAATCTTCGTTGACTTGATGACATCTTTTGTGTTTTCTCACCTACAATTGAAACACATTTTTTATCCTGAACTTCGATTCCTTGTACTGGCTATGTTTGCAGTCTACAATGGAAACTAAATTAAGAAGGTGGCTTAAGCACCTGTACTCCATTTTGAGTCAACTACTCTAGTAATTGTTTATCTTCTATTTTTTACACCCATAACTGTAATTCATACAGAGGGTTCCTTTAATCGTTAATTTGGACGTACTTATTTTCATAGTTAATGCCTCAAACTCATCGCTCAAAATTTGTGGCCCATGTTTTCGTTTAAACGATGGTTCAATTAAAAAAAACCAAAAATTGCTTTGGTACCAAGAATCTTTGGGATTTTTATTTCATTTTTTGCAAAGAAAGAAAAATTGTAGCAGATTGTTTTTATCATAAAATACTTAACACCTTTTAAATGCAACTGTGACCTATCTACATAGTTTGTGCTGTGGATTTAAATTACCAAAAGTGTATGTTGCATATTTTGCATGCATTTAATCTAATTATTATTATTTAAAAGTTTTGAACTATAAACCCTAAGCACAGGTAATAATTTAACTCATTGAGTCTTTAATTTTTTACTCATATTTTCATCATTTTAAGACTAATTTTCATTTTAAAGTGTTCTGCTCCTCACATGCATCACAAGTTTTCCGAAAATCTTGTCCTTATATTTTTCTTTTTTTCAAAACAAAGCATTTACCTTAAACAAAAGTGTCAAAAATAGCACCTTCAGTACTTAGTTCTCTGCTTAGACTTCTAAGAATGTGTGAAAGTAATGAATGGTAAGTCTGATGTGCTGAAATCTCTTTTCTTCTAATTTCATTTCCTGTCCAATTTTGCTCTTCTCTCTCAGATTTTCAACTTTGTTTTTTTTTTTTTTTTTCTTATTCGTCTTCTTTTTAGACTGATTGAGATAATTCAGTATTCTTAGCCTTCGTCCTAAAAGATCCTTTAATAATTCTTACGTCTATTTAGTTGCGTTTAACGTGAAAGACTTAACTTGTAAATGAAATTCTTGTGATGTTTGTTCCGATTTCACATTAATTGTTATGTTTTTGTACCTACTGCATATTTCAGTCTCACAGTATTTTCATTTTCTGACCAAATAATCACTAAATTTGATCAAGATAGAAGTGTCAAGTTCAGTTATATTAGCATTGTTTTGTTACCTAGGTGAATTATTTTTTCAATGTTAGTCATATTGTTTTCTCTCGTTCGGAGTCGTAGACATTTTTTTTTCATTCCCTTTTTTATACGAATAAAGTTTTTTATCATTTGAATTTTCAGAATCTTTTATTTCTGTGTCTAATTTTCATAGCACAGTTAACCTCCTCCAAGTCAAACTTCAAATGGACCGGATTGTTAACTCCACCTAGAGAGAAATTCCACTTGAAGGGCTTTTGTTACTTTGAAAAATTCGACAGAACGCTAAAATGGTTTGACTCAAGGGAAAATTCCACTTAAAGAGAGTTCGACCCAGAGGAAGTTACCTGTACGTAATATACAAAATGATATCTCGGTTTATTTTGCTAGACTAAACTCTGTTGTCAGAATGAGTCTGTCATTGATTTAAACCTATGAAAAGTTTTTTGGAGTTTTGTTCCTGCATTGTGCTGTTTGAAGTTTTAAAGAATGTAAAAGTTCATGGTTGAAACTCCAGAAATTTGCAACGTCATTCGTGAGTTGTGAAACCTGAGGAAGAGAGCATTATTGATTTGCCATTTTTCATCTTATTCTCAAATAGATAGCAATGGTCTTGACTTAGAGGTTTTTAGATATTAATAGTAACATTAGGTCCTGAAGAACTGGCCTCGTGAAATGCAGCTCTGAGCATCAGAATATAAACTTCTCGAAAAGAGAGTTTTTTCCTTAGATTGTGCTGTTTGTATGAGGGGCACTGTTCTCTTTTTTTTCTGTGGTCATCAAATCATGATTATAGATTGAAACTGGAATTGAGTCATCGAAAGTGAATGAAAAGTGATCAATTACTCAGTTGAGCTCAGAGACAAAGCTATTCATGAATATTTACTTTTCTTTTCAGTTAGGTTTCATTTTCCAACGTAGACTGGAGATTAGTTTGGTGAAGTTGAGAGCTAAAGGAAAACTATAATCAACTTTGAAGAAATCATGAAGTTTATCCGCCTGGATTCAAGCTGTAAATTAGATCAAATCACAGAGGATTCAGAGGATTCACAGAGGAGGTGGTTCCTCATGTGGAAGAAGGTATTACTTAACTTAACTTTTTCTTAAAGAAATTTCTGTAAAATATTTGAATTTTCTCGGTAAGACCCCGCTGAACGCATAAATATTTACAATAATTTGTAAATATAGTAGGTATTTAAAATTATTTGATGTGTTTTCTTTATTATATTTTAAGGCTGCACGAACGCTACAAGAACTTACTGCGGCTATTCCCAGTTCCATCGATTTCAGCTATGCATGATTCATGCCCTGGCTAAAATTTGACCGACACCCAAAGCCTCCATTAAATATTGAGAATGGCTCAAGATTTTTAGTTCAAAAACGTCCACCATCGTCGTTGATTTCATTAAAACTACGAATTTACTACGTAAGCCCTGAAATTCCCACTAAATGGATTTTAGGAATGTAGGGCAATTTAATTTGAATTATTCACGTTTAGCGCCCTTTTTTCCCGCCACTGGTGAGACTGAAAGACCCATCTGCACTTCGTTGCATATCGTTTTCTGATAGAGAAAATCTTCATGAACTTTAGCTACAAATAAGTAAAAACTATGATTTATTGTGGTTGAAATCACCACTAATTGAATTTTAAAGCAACCGATCCAACAATTCTAAACTTATTACGATAGTATTAGTTTGAACTATGGTTGACTCGAGTAGTTGCTCAGTGACCTTGGTGCGTGTTGACATGTCTCGCGAACGTGCTCAAGATAAGTTCAAAATTTACAAAGAACTGCCGGTATTTGTCGTCGAAAATCACAATGAGGTAAATTTTTAAGAAATATGGCTTCAACGTGTATGTAATTACTTCGATTACTTTGTCCCACAAGCCCCACAATCGTGCGTTATGTTACCTTCACGTGCTGCTGTAGGAGCTGACATTTTGGATGGTCAGCTGTCTAACAAGTGGCTCAGTGTGGCTCTGCAGAGATTCGCGCTCTGCCTTTCGATCCTTTCATGTCACTGATATGGCTTGATAATGGTTCAACTTTTTTACCTCAGGTCAAACATTAATTTTAATTGACCTTTCATGGCCTTTACTTATCTAATCAAATTGCTGACGAATCTTTAATGAACTAAATCAGTTTCTCTGTAACTCTCTCCCACGAATTTTACCGCCCGCTACTGGTGCCACTCACCGCACCCGAGATCCGGTGTCCATCGCGAATGCGAATCTCTGCGAAACGTAATAAGAATTCCAACCCCCAGCTGTCGGTATCCGCAACCCCTGCGCCTTGTTGTCAAAGGTGCTAATGATGCTGCCAAGTTTTATCGCTATAGAATATTCCTGGCCCCATTTTTTCTTTTTTTCTTTTTTCTTTCTTTTTTTCCTCTTTCTTTCTTTTTTTTAAAGCACCGCTTTAAATTTTACTACTACTACTTTCTTTTTTTCTTTTTTCTTTCTTTTTTTCTTTTTTCTTTCTTCATTTTCTTTTTCCTTTCTTTTCTTCTTTTTTCTTTTTTCTGTTTTTTTTCTTTTTTTCTTTTTTTCTTTTTTTTTTTTTTTTTTTTACTACTGTTACTGCCCCCTTTAGAGGTGTAAATGGCCTTAGATGCTAAAGTACCGCTTTAAAATAAAATTATTTTACTACTACTACTACTACTACTACTACTACTACTACTACTACTACTACTTTTTTTTTCTTTTTTTCTTTTTTTCTCTTTTTTTTCCTTTTTTCTTTTCTTTTCTTCCCCCAATTTTTGACCGTGTCCCAAGTTACTCCGAAACTAGGAGTAGGTAACTTAGAACACCAGTAGAAATCTAGCAATTCAAAACCAGTTTGCCCTTAATTGTCAGGCTCCTCTAGTCCAACATATCGATGGCTTATGCGAACAATATCGTCTATCTGCAAACTCGCCATTTCTGTAATTTTAAGGTTGGATTTTCGATTTTTTCATATATTACCTACAGCGTCATCGAAGAGCTCCCCTTCAGAATTGGAAAAAAACTTAAATCATCAGCTTGCGTATTTTATACTGAAGAATGCGGCAGAGCTGCTAACCCATTTCTGTCCAAATTGTCAGTTAGGCCGTAGGCGGTATTCTGCCGTCATAAGGAAGAACGCCGTATGGACATTCGAGAGTTGCCAAATTTCCCTTGATAAAACATGTAATTTTGACGACTAACGTGCACATTTTTCTTTGTTTCCAGATGTATTAAATTGCGTACGAAATAGTCTGAAAATTTTGGAAAAAAATATTCACAAATTTCCCCGTAAATTCGGTTTTTATCGGAGGAAAGGCAATGTCTGAAGGTTCATACGGCGTTCTTCCTTAGCACGGCAGTATTGTTCGTTAGCCCCCGGTATGGGACAATAAATCTTAATTATTTAAAAAAGGCACACGAAAATTTATCAAAAAAAAAAAAAAAAAAATCCTTATTCAAACTAATTGTAAGCCACACAAAACAGAGCCAGGTAATTCTAGGAGCTCGTGTCTTACTTAGGTACACTAAAAATTAAAGGCGGACTGACATGGCGTTACAGTTAATCCTTCCCGTCTAATAAAAACCTATTTTTTGTGTATTTAAGGGGACTTTTACGGTGAAATCACTATTCGATCACATGAGAGCTCGTGTTTCCGACACCAATGCTTACGAAGCTATAAAACCAGCAGAAACAAAGAAAAAAACAGAAAAAAAACCGCCAATGCTTTAAAATCACCTCTCCACGTTCGGTAGAAAGATGATTTTTGTGTATTCTGAATAAGCTTGGCATTGGTGATGGCACGGGGATATCACTATTCGACCACGTTATAAAATCTCTTTTTTCCTGCACCGAAAATCGAAAGTGAGGTGGTAATGCAATAATGTACTTAATTATATTTTAGTGTTTGAGAGTAAGCATGATATTTGACGGAGATATGATCATTGGGTCACACGTGGAAGCTCTTATTCCAGTGCGAGGCTCTGGTATCTCACTCTAAATGCTGACGAATGCTGAATTCCCGAGCTGATTTCTGAGTAAAAGGAAGCACGAACTGAATATGTCGATCGACCGTTTCCACGACTTTTTCTCACGCGCCAGGAAATGCCAGGAAAATATCGTACCTATCAGGAGATCGCAGGGATGCCAGCGGTTTGGAAAATCGCGAAAATTCAGGGAAAATCAAGGAATTCGCAACGACTGGAAAAGTCAGGAAGTTTCTGACATAATCCAGTAATCTCTCAGACATATCATTGATCTTCCAACTGTTTACCCTTTCTTGTCGTTTTTGAGATGATTCGTCAAGCTCAAGTGACGTGATAGAACTGGCATGCGATGCATCGCATAGATTCGGTGAAATATCTCGGCAGAATTTAAATTTTTAGCAAAAAAGGGACGTTAGCCCCTGCACATGAGCCTAAAGAATCATTCTTTATTTTATGGGTTTAGAATGATTCTTTAGGCTCATGCGGAGGGGCTATCGTCCTTTTTTTTGCTAAAAATTCAAAATCTGCCGAGATTTTTTACCTAATCAATGCGATATATCGCATGCCAGTTCTACCACGTCACTTGAACTTGACGAATCACCTTAAGGCTTGTCATCTTTTAACAAGCTACTGAATGTATTTTTCCAAAATTTCATCTCTAGACAAGGAGAGAGCCTCCCAAAATAAGGGCTGACTTTCGCCCCTTTTTCGGTATTCGATTCGACCATGGAACCAAGGTTTAAGTGGAAGCTCATAATAACAGAAAACTCAGGACAAAATTTCAAGATGAGTGTAGGAACCGTTTTCGAGTTATGGGGGGGGCAAAGGGGTCAAACTCCGGCCTTATTTTCGCTATTTTCTTGTTGAATTGATGTGTCTACGAGGTTGTTATCGTTGTTTACACATGTTAAGCACAGCGGTTCCTACGTATTTTTACATGCAAAATCGAGTTTCCATGTTGACGAGTCGAAATACCGATCGGTTCTATCGATTTTTTCAAGATTCTCTACGGAAAGTGGACGATGTTTTGAGATTGAAATTGTTCATTTTTGATTCACGGATGACTAAATGCACATCATATGACTGCAGTACACCGACACCTACGTATTTTTTCTTGTAGAATCGATTTTTAACGTTAACGAGTCGATATATCAATCTTTCATATCGAATTTTTACGATTTTTTAGGAAAATCAAGGATATATTGGTATTGAAATTGGTTATTCTCCATCCGAGAACAACCAAATTTTGGATTTGAAAACATTTCCTACGTTCCCGTTTGAGTTTCTTGTGAGCGGGCAGTTCAAAATCTGCGTAACCAATGTGAAATAAAAAAGTTATTATCTTCGTTAGGGGTTGGTTTCAGTGATTTTCGTTGCGCGAATCGTGTTCTACGTGAAATTCTGGTTAAGAAACATGTATCAGAATGCTTGAATTCGTGCCTTGTCCAGTGGTCCATTGTATTTAGCAAATGGGTGGTTTTTCTACGAGGATTAAAAATAAATAAGTGGTACGGAATATAAAAAAAAATATTATGAACTATGCAAAACGATTATTCCGATAAAGGAACTTGGCTGTTTTGAAAACGCCTTCAAATGCGGCGTGATACCTCACACATTCCGGAGAGTTCAAATAGTTGTATCAGTGCGCCTTAGAAATGCGACGGAAGATTACAATTGAAATAGCCTTAATGCACGCTGGCCTTTTCGATTTGCGTTAACATTTTTGCAGTCTTGAATGCGCTTAAGTGCGCTTCAGCTAGAATTGTATTCAGCATAGGTGGTTTTTATGGGAGGATTGTAAATAAACAAGTGGTTAGAAATGAAAACAAAATAATATGAACAGTGCAAAACGATTATTCCGATAACGGAACTTGGCTGTTTTGAAAACGCCTTCGAATGCGGCGTGATACCTCACGCATTCCGGAGAGTTCAAATAGTTGTATCATTGCGCCGTAAGAATGTGACGGAAGATTTAAATGGAAATAGCCTCCATGCAAGCTGGGCGTGTCGATTTTCTTTGACATTTTTGTGCTGGTGAATGCATAGCTGAAGTGCGCTTCAGCTAGAATTGTATTCAGCATAGGTGGTTTTTATGGGAGGATTCTAAATAAACAAGTGGTTAGAAATGGAAACAAAATAATATGAACATTGCAAAACGATTATTCCGGTAACGGAACTTGGCTGTTTTGAAAACGCCTTCACATGCGGCGTGATACCTCACGCATTCCGGAGAGTTCAAATAGTTGTATCATTGCGCCTTAGAAATGCGACGGAAGATTACAATTGAAATAGCCTTCATGCACGCGGGCCTTTTCGATTTCCGTTAACATTTTTGCAGTCATGAATGCGCTTAAGTGCGCTTTAGCTAGAATTGTATTTAGCAAATGGGTGGTTTATATGGGAGGATTCTAAATAAACAAGTGGTTAGAAATGGAAACAAAATAATATGAACTATGCAAAACGATTATTCCGAAAACGGAACTTGGCTGTTTTAAAAACGCCTTCAAATGCGGCGTGATACTTCGCGCATTCCGGAGAGTTCAAATAGTTGTATCATTGCGCCGTAAGAATGTGACGGAAGATTTAAATGGAGATAGCCACCATGCACGATGGGCGTGTCGATTTTCTTTGACATTTTTGTGCTGGTGAATGCATACCTGAAGTGCGTTCCAGCTAGAATGGACCACTAGAGACAAGGCAAGAATTTCAGCATTCTGGTACACGTTCCCAAGCCAAAATTTCATGTAAAACACGATGCGCACAACGAAAATTACCGAAATCAACTCCTTACAAAGATATTTAATGATTCTTGATGCGCTAAAGCAAACCACCCGCTCATGAAAACTCAATGCTCTACGTGACTCACATCGCGCGCTAAACGTTATCATGACAGTCTCTGCGATATAAAAATCTGGCAACCTTAACCTTGACGCTTTGGCTCAGCTATAGCAAGTTGTTTATAGTTTGAACAACACATGGTGGGAAATGAACATTGCTTGATTGAGAAGCTTGCTGAAACCGTTGTAGTGCACGATTTGACTCACGTAGAGCTTTGAGTTTCTAGTGAGCGGGCAGTTCAAATTCCTCGTAACCAATGTGAAATAAAAATGTTAATATCTTTGATAGGAGATGATTTCGGTAATTTTCGTTGCGCGAATCGTGTTCTACGTGAAATTCTGGTCAAGAAACATGTATTAGAATGCTTAAATTCGTACCTTGTCTAGTGGTCCATCGCCGTTGAGTAGTTTTCAATTTGAAAAATAAAGAAGTATGATGGGAAGTCTGCAACGTCGCAAACCGAGATACCTGGTTGCGGACTCATACCGTCGAAGTGCAAACTTGCAACTCGAACGTGGAAGTTAAATTGAATCAATGGGTAAGATTCATTACAGCACCTCATACTTTCCGTAAAAAATGGAGCCCATTTTACGTGAAAGGAAGCGAGTTTAATGTCAGAGGTAGGGTAGAAGAGGAAAATGTATGAGAAACAGTCTAATGGTGGCGATTCCAATTCTTCACGGTTTTCACGGAGAACGAAATGTTCTTACTAATATTGCCCTTGTAACTTTTGTTTGTGGCTGAGCTCTGTATTCAATTTTCCTTCATTTGAGAGAGTAGGCAATATGCGCTCTCAAGAGTTTGATTAGTGGTATCAGAATCTTTGGTCCCGTCCCGTGGCCAAGAAACGCCTAGAAACAGTGATTCTAGATTTTGAAATTTTTCACCCCAAGCCTACAAATTTCACACGTTGCACATGTTTTCGTTTGGTTCAGAGGTTAGGTTAAGGCTTTCCTCTTTTAACTCCCCTTTGTGCCCCCCTTTCGTGTATATCACCCCAGTAGGATAGCATAGTACTGCCGCATCAACAGGATGACCATTTTAAACCAGTGGCGTGGCGTGAATTGCGATGTATCGATTGTTATGCTTCTTAATCCTATGGTAAAGAATCGATTGTTAAGGTGTTTGCTGCGAACACCTTGTTTATCGATCCTTCTCCATAGGTTTAAATGGCATGACAATCGATTTATCGCAAACCACGCCACGCCACTGTTTGAAACGCCTCCGATCTCCAAATGGATTGCATTTTGCAAAAAGGAACCATGAGCATATTGCAATGTTGCTAAGATTGTGAAACTTCTTTTGTCATGGAAAAAAAAAACCTGATTATCCATTGACAGTCTATTTTACTCGCTGAAAACTGTGAATTCAAGACAAAAATTACCATGTAAATTTCATATTTTTTCATGATTTCAGTTATATTACTGCAAAGGATGAATTTGCACTATCTTAGCATAATTGCCATGCTTCTGGTTCCTTTTTGCAAAATGCAAGCTAGTTGCGAAGAAAATCAATAGATTTCAAATTTTGCGATTTTTATTCGATCCTTTTAAAATTTCACTTTCCATCTCTGTTTGATGCACTCGCCAAAATTCAATTTAGGCTACCTACTTTGTGTCGGGTCCTCGTTTTTTTTACACTTTGTTCTTGTTGAGTAAATGCTGTCCGTTGTTTTCCATTTCAGGTTTTGCCGTTCATCTACCGGGCGATGGGCTCGAAACACCTCCCGTTAGAGGGCAACACTCTCGTGCACCTGGATTCGCATCCGGACATGCTCATTCCCCGAGGAATGCCGGCTGACACGGTTTGGAATCAATACGATCTCTTCAGGTAAGAGCGTGCATTACTTCACTTGGACGTATTTCTATCAAACAGATTTATGTGCAGGTGAGAAATATGGGGTGTGCTCGTCTGTTCTCTGGCCGTAAGAGTGAATGAGAATAATAAAGCGCCAGTGACGTCAACGGAAATGGATTCGGCTCCTCGGTCGGGGCTCCTCAGCGTAGTGTGCTTTAACTCATGAGCCCTGGCCACAACGCTCTCGTGCCATGCCCGCGGCTCATATATCCCGCATTCAGTTGGCACATAGTTCTCTTTGTTTAATTTAAAATCCCGCTTTTCCAATAGTTCAAAAGGAATTACGCCCTCTTTTACGTTGTTTCTTATGCAGCTTTCTAGAGCACACCCTATATTTCTCACCTGGACATAGTTCTGTTTGATAGAAATACGTCCACTTGTCTCTCATTTACGGAATGCGATAACATCGTGGCTTATCAAGTTTCATATTTGTAGAATTTGTGCCCGTGCCCTCGTAGGCGAAACAAGAATAGGCCTCTCCAGAAATCTGCCAGCCTCCCCCCCCCCTCCCCACATGTAGCATATTTCAACATAAAATTCGAGATATTTTGAAATTAAGTTGGGATTTTTTTCCAATTTTTCTCGCTAAAATCGCTAAGATCGCATCATCACCCGAGTGATTATCCTCAATCTTGTCGAAATTTTATCCCTTTTAAATTGCGTTCGATAAAATCGACATTCTGTATAAATTTATCACGATTTTTTGTTCGCTAAAATTGCGAACAATCGCCGTCGATAAAATCACGATTTTATCACAAATCTCAATTTATCGCAATTTTTTTTATCCGATAATATTGCAAGAAATCGACGTCGATAAAATCGCGACGCAGTCTCCGATCAAATGGCAACTTATCGCAATCAATGCTACTTGGGCCCCTGGGAATGCATAAGGGATTTTGAGAAAAAAGGTGCGCGACTTTTCGGTCATTTTTGAAAATGCAATTCAATCAAAATTGTTCCTGAGACATCTCAATTTTCAAAATTTTTCGAAGGATCCTTGGAGTTCCCTTTATGATATTGATGGCCAAACTGCCGTGCTAAGGAAAAACGCCGTATGAACATTCGAGAGTTGCCAAATTTCCCTGGATAAAGCATGCAATTTTGACGACATTAATGCTTATTTTTCGATGACATTTTCAGATGTATTAGATTAAATTGCGTACGAAATCGTCTGACAATTTTGGAATAAAATATTCGCAAATTTTCCTAGAAATTCGGGTTTTATCGAAGAAAATTTGGCAACGTCTGAAGGCTCATACGGCGTTCTTCCTTAGCACGGCAGCAAAGTGCAAACTACGTATCTCCGTTTGCAACGGTGCAGACTTCCTGTTATACTCTATTTTTTCTTCGGAAAACTTGTCAACTCGATGTCTTGAAAACTTTCTTGATTTTTCTTCTCATAATTGGACGTATTTCTGTCAAACGGAACTATGTGCATTATGGCGTGAGCCCTGTCATGCACATATTCTTATGAGTCTCAGGGCTCATGTCTTAATGCACATAGTTCCGTTTGGCAAAAATACGTCCAATTAGCTGAACATTCCGTAGAAATTTTAAGTTGTATAGTTGACTGGATTCTCTTCGAAAAAATAAAATAAGCGCAGAGACTTTGAAACACGGCACTGGAGGTATGTGGTTTCGCAATTTAGCCATTGATATGCTCTTTTGCCCTTTCCCTACGAAAAACCCTCAGTTCTATCCATGGTAAGACTTGAGCTTTGTCAGCTAACTAACAAGACAAAACGATTTGACGAGAAAAGATTTTTTGCTCCAGAAATATCTCGTCAGAGTGAAAGCATGTCATTCAGAGTCCAGATTATGAGAACTGTCCGGACGGCAGTGGCGATTTAACGAGTTGGCAGAACTGTTGTTCCTCCATTTAAATCCATTAAAATTATCGATTAATAAAATATCGAGGCAAGTCGCCTCACCAAGAATCGATTGTATTAAGTATATATATTTAAATGGAAGAAAAATAGTGTCGCCATCCTTCAAAAATTTCCACTGGCGGACGGCATACACTATGTTCATACTTTATGCGCCGTGGGCCACCTCAAAACATCAAATGAGAGGCTTGGAGGACAAGACGCATGAGTGCAGTTTTTGCTTTTTCGAGAAATACGTGTTCGCAGTTTCGAAATCACGTGAAACTTTATGGCAGGAAGAAGGTTCCTAACTGATTTTTTTATGTTCAGTAATTGGAATTAGGGATCGAATTTTTAACAGAATATGCGGTAAGACTAGATTTATTTGAGATCATTAATATCTCGATTTTCTCCAAAACTACACATGGGTATGCGCCTTGCCCTCCACGTACCTCAAATCTAGTGTGTTAATTGCCTGTTTTTTTTTATCATTTTTTTATTTTAATTTTTTTTGAATAGTCTTATTACTAAAAAACTGGGTGAGGGACGAACAGCTTTATTAGCGTATCAAAGCCAGACTTATAGCTTTTGCGAATGAAAAATATTCAACATAGCGAAAATTCAAGATGGATGCCAGGTGCAATAAACGTTATCGAATTCAACAGGAATTTAAATAAAGTAAAAATAAAATAAAAAAGAAGATAAGAAAACACTAAAATCGTGGATTTTTGTAACTTAACTCAGGCTCAAAGTTTGGTGTGTTCGAACGTAAGGAGCACCGGCTAAAACTTTTGCCTTGAAAGTTCCTGACGAATCTGTTTTTGTTGTGAAAAGTTTCAAGTATTTAAATTTCCGGTCAAAGGTTTCTTTTTTTAAAGTAAAATCATTGGGCTGTTTGTATTGTTTTTAATCTGACACAATGAATGCCTAACGCTCGTCAGAAAACTACTTCAAACATTTTAGTTGGATCTAATTCCACCCATCAGTAGTCTTCCTCCGATTTTTTTTCTCAGTGGATGACGAAACTCACTAAAACTATGAAATAATTCTGAAATCAGTCCCGTATCAGTTTCTGCGTTTGAACGTCGTTATCAATTGAATGGGTCGTTTTTAAGTGGAGAGCCCTCGGTTACCTGAGAACACTAGCTTTTTGGGGCTCATTTTAAAAAAGACATATTTCCTTTCAAAAATGACCTGTTCAATGATTGCGCTGAACCTCAAACCGAAAGGATCATTTGAAGTTATCAACTGATCAACTGTCACTTGAATTTCTTTTTATCTGTTTCCTATGATAACCTAAAATTAATAATGAAAATTGGATTCCCTGATGTTTTCAAGAGCTCTTATCTCTTGGCAGTCCTATAGCAAATTCAATTAGCCCTAATAATTGGTTTCATCTAGGAATTTTTCTTTTTCCATTATCACCCCGACGGGTGCCATAAAAATTTGGCTGAGATAATATATAGTTAGATACATTCCCCTCTTTTTTAAATAAAAATGAAACAAAAAACAAACGATGATGGTAAGAAGCATCAATTTGACGTACTTCTGACGAACGGAACTATGCGCATTATGACGTGAGCCCTGTTATGCATGTATTCTTATGAGTCTCAGGGCTCATGTCTTAATGTACATAGTTCCATTTGATAGAAATACGTCCAATTGTGATGTTGCCTTCAGCGTAAATGGCGTCCTGAAAGTGAGTGACGATAATTCAGGGATCAATTTTTTCGGCCAAAGTAATTAGACTTCGTTTGGCTATGTTAGGCCGACCCTTACGAACTCTTTTTTCAATGTAGTTCCTTAAAAAAAAAATCATGGCGAGTCGTGAAAGTTTCACAAGTTCAGCAAAAAAGTCTCTCGAGTTCTACATGGAAGAAAACAGTTTTATTTTTGCGCAACAAATCGATTTCTGAAGTATTGTCAGTCACTTTCGGGATATCGCGTGTAGTTTCTTTTAATATCAATGTGGTATCTAGTTTAAAGCAGAAAGATATCTGTCACGGACACTTAATGGGATGTATTTATGGTAAAAGGAACTATGTGCATAACTTTGCGTGCACACAGTTCCTTTTAGCATAAGCACGTCTAATTCAAACTAAAGTTTTCGCTCAGTGCTGCTCAATGATTTTTAAATTGTTGCTTTTGTGAAAGAAATAGGAACTAATGAGATGTGTCTTATGTATCGATAATTTTATTCAATGTAGTAATCAGAAATCAGTCCATTATCGACGTATATAACTGTAACAAATGATCAGGTAACAACAAACGAAGCTAATTCATTCAAAAATACATCCTACAACTAATTAATAAAATCAATCATATTTAACAATTATATTGACTTTTCTAAGAATTCAAATCACTTTAAAATTCTATCCTAAAATCACAAAAAAGATCAATGTACAGGAACTTGGGCCCAAATACCAAACAGTAAGATAGGTTTTCTGATGACCTTGCATGTTGAGCTGATTGTATGAGGGTGAGAAACTATAAACTTTCCCGAATTTCGTTTCTCCAAGATCTAAGTTCTTAGGATACAACACAAATCCATTTTAAATCGAGTATAACAGATGTCAACACTTACTTATCTTAGTTTGAACACAATTTGTCATGGTCTAATTCAATGAACTTTAAAAAATAGTGAGGCTGATCGCATGAAAAATCGAATGTTGAAGGTCTTTGCATCCTTACTTTTCCTTCCCTTCAATGAAATCTCCGAAACTTATTTGTAAGCTGTTGAATTTTGAATTTGAGTATGGACAGTTTTAAATAGAAAACCCGCAAGCAGGAATAGAATAAAATCAAAATAAAAAATTAATTAAAACCCTTCAGCACACCAAATTTTGAGGAAAGGAGAGTTCAAATACCCCTAAGACTCGCGGGAGAAATTGTTTGTGTCAGTTAAGAAATTACACTTCCGCAAAGATAGGTCTGAGTGACGCAATATCAAGATCTCTCATGGAAAATTATTGGAAATAAGTGAATAACTAATCTTGAGAGTATAGAACGGTTATCTCACAGCATCGTTTGACGTCATTTTTAGCATTAAGTCGCGTACATCTGTCAGAGTAAAAGAGTAACAAAGCCTCCCTCCGTTCCGAGCATTAT